TGAAAACTATGAATTTGATGATTTCGATTATCTTACTATTCAAGAAGAGAATGAAGATTGTTTTAAATGAAGTTGAATGACAATTTCTTCGTTGCCAAAGTCTATGAACCTGTTTTTACCGTCTTTGATTTCCAGATTTATATCTTTGATCATGAAAGAATTGACTCGTAAATAGGTCGTTTGAAACAGTTTCTCTATAATTCTGTATCCGATCGGCACCATAAAAGTCGGTATGCTGTATATGATTTGGCGTTTGTGCTTGTTGAAAAATCCACCGTTGATCAAATTACAGTGAATGTTGATCACGTCGATGTCGTTCTCGATGTTGGCCTTTGGCGGCGCCAATGTCGATTGCGCGTATATTCGTTTATCGAACACTAGTAACGCATTCAACGAATTTTCTACGTTGAAATCGACTTGACTGTTATTTCTCAAGATCAGTTTTATTTTGTTCAGATTCAAATTACCTTCGAATTCGATATTGTTTTTACCGTTCACGCTTCCTGTGTATTCGGATAGGTAATCGTTGATGGCCACGTATTCGTAGCTTCCCGCTAGTAAGCTAATGGTTTTGAACGTAACTCCGTTATCCGTCGATATTTTTAGTTGATTGTTTTTTTCGTTGATGTTTCTAATGAAATTGTAAACGGAGAAATACTTTAATCCCAGTTCGTACTGTTTATTGCGATCGAGTTCATACTCGTAGTCTAGAGACAATTTGATGTCTGATTATTCGAGGTGATAACGAACAATTGCTCTTTATTGGACATTTTTAATGACGTTTATATAGTCTTTTTTAGTGATGATTTTTTTCTCCAAAAGTCGTTTTAATATGCCATTGACTTCGTTGTATTGTCTGTCCGATCGATGACCTTCTTTCATGGCCGCTAATATTATTTCTAATATATTAAGCAATTCTTTATTGTTGTCGGATAAAAACGTTATAGCTTGCCCAGATGCCACCATATCATCGAATTCGTCTATTTCTTGTATGATTGGTGGATAATCTTCTGCATAATCATCTACCTCCTTTTGCTCAATAACTTTTGTTAGATATAAATCAACTTCTTTCAATCTTCTTGTTTCGGGTCCTGACTTTCTGATCGCATGTAGAAATTTTGAGTATGCAACTAAATCCTTGTAATCGGCAATTTCAACATCCTCGCCATTCATTAAATCTATTAATCCTCTCGTTAATGTAAATATAAAGTCTTTTGTGTCGATTTTGAATTGTGGTGAATTTCCACTAAATCTTATTCTAAAACCATTAAACAACAAACCCTCATCATCAATGATTGGTGAAATACTCTTTGGTAAATCTGGGTCAGGGTTTGAAAAAAGACGTTTTATATCATCTAATGTCTTAATTATAATACCATTATATTCAATCGCTTTGGGTTCTATACGAAGGGTGGGTTCTATAACGAGTCTCTTTTTAATATCTTCTTGACTTTTTAATATGGGTTGAAATAGAGTCTGTAGATTTTCCGTTAATCCGAGTTGTTGCAATCTGTTATTTTCAACTTGGGTCTTTATTTTATTCTTAGCTTTGATATATTCTCTATTTCTTTTTAAAAAATTATTCCAATCCGTCATTTTAAAAAAAATAAAATTAAGATATATCGATCATAACTCTTTCTCCCGCAGGTTCTCTAGTATTTACAAATACATATCCATGATCATCTGGGTTTCTCCATTGAGCTTTACAAACCTTTTTAAATGTATCTCTATCCATTCCGTGATTTATAGACTGAATGATTTGAGATAAATCTTTGTCGTTTAATTCAAATAATAAAAAACAATTTGCATTTTTTCTAATGAACATAGAATCCATCCTGTAAAAAGATTGGGATTGGTATATGCAGTGACAGTTGTGATGTCTTCCTTTGGTGAAGAATTCTTGTTGAACAGTTTGATTTCTTTGCGCTACGCAGTCGTCAAACAATATTAAGTTCTTTCGATTGCTATCAATATTAGACAAGTCTAGATCATTAACATTTTTCGTAAGAAAAACTTTTATATCCGTTGGATTGAAAGATGGATTCTTTGATTTAATGAAGTTTTCTATGATATCTTTTATTTCCACTTCTTCTTCGTTTTCTTCGTAATATTAAAATATGCCTTGAAACTTTCTTTGGTAAATATTCTAAAGCTTTGAGGAATTGATAATATGATTGCTCTGGTGTTGTTGTGTAGATATACAGAGAATCGAAATCTAAAAGGTTTGGTGTTGTCAACATGTTAAAAGTGAGATGAGTTTTCCCAGAACCTGAACTACCGCAAATACTCATGAGCATTGGGTTACTAGGAAATATGTCCGAATGTTTGAATTTCTTGCCCATTTTTATTTATTACATTTTCGTACCAAAAATCTCCCCGTTGCCTTTATACTTTGAAAGGAAGCTTCCCTCGCCTGAACGTATGTTTTTAAAAAATATGGCGTTGCCCTTGTGTTTGACCTTCATTTCTCCAGTGTCGATTTTATCTATTAATTTGCTTAATCCCTCTTTAACAGTTTTCTTGGTTTCTTCGCCAAATCTTTGTCCGAATTCTTTAACAGTCCCTAATATATCTCCTACTCCCGAACCTCCACGTGCTTCTCTTTCCATTGCCAAATTGTGTCTACGTGCTTCGGCGTTTGCAGCGGTTTCAGCTTTCTTATCGTTGACAGCTTTGGCTATCCCAGCAGCTCCACCAGCAGTTGCACCAGCTGCAGCTAAACCAGCAAAGATTAAAGGTAAGAAAGGTAAAAATCCATCTTTTTTAGTTAAATTCTCATCAATTCTTTCCAAGTCTATATCGTCTCTGACTTTCCAATGTTTGTATTTATCAATAAGTTTTTTAGTAATGCTTTTTTTTACCATTATAAGTTATTGTAGTTGGTGAAGCTGTTTCTATAGCTTCTATCATTTTCTTGACTAAAGTTTCTGGTTTCATTTTTAAAGGGTGTTTTATTATTCAATTCTTATCATTCTTCTATCTGATATTTTAATCAAATGTTTTGCTTCTTCCAGCAATAAACAGTAGCCGGTCACATCTCCTTGTGTTTTATCGATGAAAATATTTATGTTTACCCCTGTTCTCTTCTTGATGAGCTGACAGATCGAAACAAAAGATTGGATGATTGAGTGAAAAATCTGTGTATTCAAACTGAGGCGTATTTCCAAACAATTCGCACATGTTTTTATAGTTTCTGTACAATTCGTTGTAATCTTTTTTGGAAGGATCAATTGTCAAAGGTTGATTGGGATAATTATCGTTGTTCAATCTGACTTGAACTTTGCGAATGATGGGATCTTGAGTATGGTTCAGTGCCACTCTGAAAATGTTGTTGTTGTTTGTCTGAGAGTCTTGCAAGTTTTTGAAACCGACCATTAGATATCTCGCTGGTTTGACGGTGTTGGTAATTGGCCATGTGGTGGATTCTCCCGTTAAAGTCATGCTACCTACCGTGTTACGACGAAGAAAAGCAATTTCGATGTCTTTGGTTAAAGAGTTGAATATTCTCGTTTCCACTTCTACGGAAGGAGTGATTACCGGTATGTAAAGTTGGATATTCGTTATTTCCAATTTTGCGTCAGAGTTGTTTGCACCAAAGAATATCTTGTTGTCGTTGATTTCTCTTTGCAAATGAATTTTATACGGTAAACCTATGGAAACCTTTCTGTGTTCCAAGAGACCAAATAAAGGATACAACTTCCAATTAACGTAATTACCCCATCTGTTGTTCTCGACAACATTGTTGTATTGAAGCGCTCGTTTTTCAAATCCGTGATTTACTCCGCGAGTCACACTTTCCAGTGTGTTTCTAGCAACTACCCTTATCCTAGCAAGGTCTGCGTCATTTGCTACAGTTCTGACCGGTTCTTTTAAAACTTCTCCGTCACCGACATCGGGAATCCATCCCGAAACTGAATCGATGTTTTTGGGATACAGAACCGTTTTCAACATTGTGTCAAACTCGCCGGGGTGTTTTATGGTCTCTATCGGATTTGAACCAGCTTCCAAAACCATTTCGCTGAATAAAGACGGAAAGAAGTTGTTTTCTAAAGTCGTGTTGGTTTGTGGAATTCGATTCTGAGCGGCGTCTTTGATTTTGAAATCGCATCGGAAATGGGCATCGGAAAGCAGCAACCAATTGGACAACGAATTAATTTCAAAGGTAACTCTTCCTCCGTCGTTTATTTGGGTCTTTGTCCCTACCGATGGTGAGATGATTACATAATCCTCTTTCTTCTTGTTGAACGAATATTGAATCGGATCATACAATTGAAAGATTGGATCCAATCTATAATTTTTGCTTGTCATTTTTATCCAATGATTTTAAACCCTTTTCCTTGTTTTTCTAGGGCTTGTCGTTCAAGTCTCTTGTTTCTTAGTTCTCTTATTAGCTGCAGTTCTTTAAGTTCGTCAGATTTTTTCACTGCATCGCTAATATTTACTCCTGCTTTTGCCACAGATCCAAGAGCTTTCGCTTCTGAGGAAATGAGGGATTTGTTGTTTGAGACAAAATTGGCCACTTTGGGGATGAGAGATGTTAGCGCAGAGAAGAAACCGTCTCCTTCGAATTTTTTTTGTTCGTGTTTTAAAATTAAAGACATTTTTAATGCGGTTATTTTATACTGTATTATTATAGTGATTCTTGTCTGTGGTTTGGGTAATTTATATGGAGTCTGTTATAATACAGTTTGGAGGAGTCTGTTATAATATATTTTTTTAACAGTTTGGGGAGTCTGTTATAATACATTTTAACAGTTGTGTCTTTTCGGATATGACGCATTGAAAAAAGCTGCGCATGCGCAGAAGTGAAATGCGTCATATCCGAAAAGACATATACCTGACATCTTAAAAACCGGATCAAACTGGATGCGCTATATCAGAAAACACATATACTACTTGCCCTCTATTTCTACACAAGATTAGTAGTAGAGAATCTCTTATGGTAAGTCAATGGCTACATCTTAACAAAAACAAATATGAATTATCTTAATGAATTTTAGGCTAGATGCATATCTACATGTGAAAGTTGCTGATTTCGGATTAACAAGAGATGTGTATGTTCAACAGTATTATAGCTGTAAAGATGATAAGGCTAGATTGCCAGTTAAATGGATGGCACTAGAGAGTATACAGAGTGGAAATTTTACATCTATGTCAGATGTGGTACGTATGAATAGATTCTCGATTACCTTCAATCAATTGATCTGATTTGTGCTCTCATCGTATTTCAGTATCAGTATTAGTGATGACACCCCACCTTGACCCATTCAATGTTTGCATGTCTTCTTTCTTCCATAGTAGCCTTTCACACTGGCAACACCATTACAAACAATAAAACATAAGCTCAATAAAGTGAAGAAAAGTATGATGTAAGTCAGTGACTACAGCTTCTATTAAATCTGCACTTGGCTATATTAACCTGTATCGTCCTTCTACCAAACCCACTTATAGTTACATCCAATTCAATACATTCAAGAAATGCAGCCTTCTGTTTAAAATTTATGCTTTATGTTAACTATTCTTAAAGTTGGTGGACAATACAAGTGAATATGAATGAATAGCCCAAAATTTCTCATAGTAAGAAAATCTTTCATTGAACAGAGCAATTTGATTTGTTAAAAATAAAAATGACCCAGATCATGGATGGCAAGTGGAGAAGCTTACAGAACACATTAAACACAATCGTGTTTTAGACTTTTACAATAATGTACCCTGTTCTTTTTTCAGTGGTCATACGGTGTTTTGTTATGGGAGTTAATGACAAGGGGGGTTAACCCATATCCAGATGTTGATGCCTGGGATATACAGAGATACCTTATGTCTGGCAGACGACTTCCTCGGCCAGAATATTGTCCAGAAGAATTGTAAGCTCGATCCTTAGTGTATATTTAAAGGGACAGGTGTGCCATTTTTGGGGGTTGATTTGAGTCTTGAAAATATGAAAATAGTCAGAAGTACTGGAAATGTACGAAAAACGCATAAGGTCTTCAAAAATATCTCAAACTAGGAATTTCTATCATTATTTCTATATATGTCTTTTCTATATATCACAGAGTATCTGGCGCATCAGTCCTTTAAGCATAAGACTTGACCTACTAAATTCCAACAATCGAAATGGTCTAAAATGTTGTAAATCGTTACCAACTAAATATGAAGACTTTGTATCTTAAATCTGATTAAGATATCGATGTTATTCCTGGTCTTTTTTTGTTTTGTTTTTACCAATCGCAGTTTAATTGTCTAATATGACTGTGTTATATTTCAAGCTACGTTATAATGGAAAGATGTTGGAAGACGTTACCTGTTTGCAGGCCAAGTTTTCAAGATTTAGTCATTGGTATACCAGAAATGTTAACAGAACTTGAACAGAGGGAAGAAAGCTTCAAATTGACATATGTTAATCTTCAAGATAATCCTACTTTTCATTATAGAGACGAAGAAAAATGGCAGACATAGAATGTGTGGTGCGTGGATACGATCATTATTGATTTCTAAATTCGTTACAAAATTATAATTAATTCTATCCTAAAACACGGACATTTCAATATAATGTGATTTACCCAAAAATTATGTCTGATTGCACAGAATGCCTGAGTACTTCACAGAGTGTACTGAAATTTTATAGGGCAGGAATTCTTTGAAACAGAAACCCACTCATATGAAACGTTGAAAATGACACACAAATCATTGGTAAAGTTGTATTTGGCACTTTTCATTTTAAACAAATAACATAATAATACATACTTTTCATATTATAAAGTGCAATTTCAAGGTACTGATTAAACGTTGTATAGTTGTTTAGCTTATATAGAGAGCACTAAGAAACCTGTAGATGGTGAAGAACTTAAGATAATATTTTACTGATTTTATGTAACCGTTAACGTGTATCACACTGAGTTTATTTTAGATAAAGTTCGCTTTGTTGGTGTTTGTGTTGGTGATTGGCGTCGAACAGTTTTTGAGGTTGGTTTTGGATGTGTCCTTCCTAGCTGCTTTTGAACTTTTTCGGCTTGAGTTCGAAGCTTTGAATCTCGCCTTTGTTGTTTATAAGCAGAATATGAATTAATGCTTGAGGATGGAGTCGCTCTAAACATTTCCACAACTCTCTCGTGTTCAGATGGCTGGTTAACATTTGATGTTTGTGATGTGGACGGTCCAAGGCTGACTTCTCGAACAATATCTGGATTTATACCGGGATTATTGTTATTATCAGATGTAGTATGAACCACTGAACGATGCTGATTCGGAATCTCTGTAACCTGATAATGATCACCAAGGTTTGAAGTAGATAATTGAATCTGAGACGGTGGTAATTCTGTTGGTGAATCATCTGGTATTTGTTGAACGACTGGTGTTGATGCTCGGGAATCGTAAGGCGGAGGAGGTGACGACACTAGAATCTGCCGGGGAACAGTGTTGACATTTGGAGGTGGTCTTCTTGTCCAGAAAATACTAGTGGTTGCTTGAGTTGGTTGTATTGTTGCTGTAGTACCAGGACGTTCAGTGTAAGATGGTGGTGGATCATACTTTTTATATGGAGGTGGTTTAACAGGTTGCGCTGGGAATGGCTGATAAAAACGATCATTTGATCCTAAAACGACATAAATCTTTTATCAAAATGGACAGGAAAACTTGTTGACATGCAAGGAAAAAAAAATGCTGAATATTTCTGAATACTTCTCAATCTACTTTCTTAGACATTCTTTTACATTTATATATTGTAGTGTCAAAACCCTTATGAAAACTGTACTTACCTAGGAATGAGAGTTCTGGATTTCGAGAATTCTGCCTCATGTCACGATTAGTTTTGTGTTTGATACAACAATACAACAATGTTACCAATATCGTTACACAGGCTACACAGGCAAAAAATATTCCTACTATCATATCACCCCTGAAAGAAGAAAAGGGTCCTACAATACATACTATCTTACTTTTAGGACAGATTTATTCCGGGTCAATCTATACTCTTTTATGATATACAAGAAGTGAGAGTGCGAATGAACTTAATTTCAACCCAAAAGTACAAATTTTGGATTATCTACTTCAGCTGATCACCCACTGATCCATTATATTTGTATTGCACATGTAATTTGTATTCAACAATGTAGATGATTGGTTTAACACGTATCATATACTATATATAATAGAGGTATATTGTCACAGGCTCAATGTGTTAATGTTAATTTATGAAACATCCGAAGAAAATTGTAGTGTCATATTGTCTGTTGGCTATGAAAGTTAACAGACGACGAGAAACGGAATGCATTTTCACAGTTTGTTTTTGAGCATTTCCGTAGTACATCAATGTACAGCCTATGCAATTTACACAAACACACATGAAAAATGACATGTGTCTGTTAACATTTTCTGTTCTCGTCAACTACAGTTTTCACCTGAATAGGTTGAGACTCGTCTTCACAGTGTAAAGATATTACGAACTGTGTCTTACGCCTTGACTGCAATGGCCACCTGTCTTTTATCACGGAAGTTTTTAAATGAGGCGATTTGATTAGATTTTACGTTAGCGAATAAAGCTTATCAGATTACGGACAGAATGTCTTAAAACATTAAGCCACTTAGCCACAATGTCCACAGTACAGTCTTTCTGTCGCTGCATTCCGTGATACAAAAAAGTTGGCTATTGCAGTCAAGATATAAGAAGAAGTTCGTAATAGCTTGGCATTGTGAAGATGGTTGAGAATATGCTGATATAGATTGATGTGAATGTAGGTAATTAGATCACAGGAAATTCGGTCACCGGAAATTTGGTCACAGTAAAAAGGACACACGCTAATTTGATCACAGTAAAAATGTCACACGGTAATTTGGTCACAGTAATACGGTCACAAGTCGATCTTTACTATTTATGTAATCATATTTTATTTATAGCACGACAATGATAACAAGAACAATGATAATGTCACATGGTGATCTGGTCACAGTCATACGGTCTCAAGGCAAAACTGGTTTAATGATAGCACTATGAACCAATGGCTAAAGCATATCGGAGCGGTTTTTTGACTTTGGGTTTCGATTTATCGGCACGCGAAATCGGTCCTATCGAGCGTTTTGATGTTATATTCCCAAGTCAGGCAATAATTCCAGGGATGTCGAAGAAGCGATTGGGTGGTGTCGTTGGACAGAGCAATTAGTCCTCTACCGGAACCATGTGGCATAATGCCCACGTGACTCACATCGTGGACGGCACGTGGCGTAGAATTTTATGAAAAAACCCTCATCGGGACGAAGAGGCTAACACAATGATGTGACTTTTAAGGTCATTGGAGGTCAAGGCCACGAACCTACTGAAGTTGCGACAGTGACCGCCCTCAACCATTTATTGAATCTAGCTGTATATCAACTACAATCGGCCGAAGTGAATGAGATGACCTACAACCCTGAACAGGGGAAATTTTACTGTCAAATTACCGTTTGACCGTATTACTGTGATCAAATTACCATGTGACCTGTGTACTGTGACCAAATTACCATGTGACCTTTTAATGTGACCAAATTCCCGTGTGACCTTTTTACTGTGACCAAATTCCGATGACCGAATTTCCTGTGACCTAATTACTGCGTCCTGTTGATCAAATATTTGCACGAATTTTTTATTCTTCCCCTTTGGTATACACTACCCGTAGCCTTTCGTAATCTACAATCAATAATGACACACTGCTATCAATACTCACGACACACAACATCTTGTATCATAGCCTGACCCACAACAGGAGGAACTACATCTTATCTGATATGAATTATGATGACCTGGTACAGACACTGAACAATATTCACAGTTGCTTCCTGAAATAGATGATAAAGTAAAAATTGATTTAGTCACTGAAAAACGAATTTACGGTTGGGTTGGTGATTAATCCTTGACAATTATTATTAAATCAAATACTCAATGACTCTTTATAAATTCGACAAAATTAGCTTGTTACTTAGTGCGATAGAAACTAAATATTTTATGCAACGTTGCGTGCTGCTGTGGATTCACACGGTCTCAAAAAAGTGCGAAGATGAAAATGATTCGATGAATGATGTAAGAGGTTTTGCCCTTGACGTTTGAAAAGTGTCAAAAATCTGCTGGTTAGCATGATAGAAGCTGCATTTTATGCTGATATGGATCTGGGTTTCGCTTATATATGTGGATTGATGTGATCACGAATGAGTTCGATAATAATTAAGAGATTTGATGAATGGTGAGGAAGTCATTGGTTTTGAATTAATTTAAAATCAACAGTTATTTTCTTTTGTAAAAAAATAATATATCAACATAATAAGTATAACGTTCGAATCACCAACAGTTAAATAAAAAATCGTTTACATTAATGATAAACATTGTGGTTTATATAAAAAAAAAACATATTAAACAGAAAAGCACAAATTGAAATGTGTTCTGTGTGTTGTTTTTAAACGATAATTTTATGTTTCAATTTCTATACACAATAACCATTAGTTCTCGGTTGTTAAGGGTTCAAACTTGAATGGTGACTGATAGAAAGCAAACGGATCATGTTTGTTTATATATTTTAAAAATTTACCTTACTTACCTGATATGAAGGAAAGAACGACAATAACAAATAACCTAAATTCCATTTTGTTCTTGGGGAACAACTAATGCGCAGCCATTTTTGTAATATTTATAAAACGATTGTGAGCCCCTTTATTATGACCGTTTTTGTTGACTATTTCAAGTAATTTGGACTGTAGCCAATTTCTTACATATATATATACATATTATATACTAGGTGTTATACGTTTATAGCAAAATCTAAAAGGTAAACGACTATGATTTGTCATATACACTTGGTAGGGGTCGTCGTTTCTACTATTGTTACATATCTCATAACATAACGTCAACCTTTTTTCTCGTGTTTGTGCGTGCAAATTTATAATATTAAATACTTCAATTAAATGTTCGAGTCTACTTCATTGTTATTTTGCATGTCTTCACTGTTCATGCTGTTTTATTTTCTTCTCTGGGCTAAAATGGCATGAGTCTATAATTGTGTTGACCGGTGAAATATTGCTATCTAATGTCTTTAAAGGGGACCTCGTAAATTATACCTTATAATATTTCGAAAGTATGCTATTTATATCTATGTATCTTCTTGATCAAACTCAATTTGTTTTAAAAGGGTTAATTAAAAACTAAGTACTAATTGTTAATTAAACAGTTTGACCTAGTTTCGGTGATTGACTTTATAATGGCTCCCTTCAAGGCTTATTTTGTAAAGGGTCTTTGCATAACGTTTCCAGTAAATATTTTTTTTAGCATTTTTTAGACGTCCTACTTTTCTGCACCATGTGGGCTAATGAAGACAGGCAACGTTATTCAGGGTACAAAGGACAATGACATTAGCTTTCTCTTTTTCGATTTCCAATTAACCTAATGGTTCGGGCGAGTCGATCGCAAGTGAACTTCGCATAGTTTGTCGCAACGACATTCGCCCGACCGCCGACCGAAGCCATTCGCCAACATCAAGTGTGTTTGATATTATTCGCCCGAACATTCATCGACATCGACTCGTTCGGCATGTGTGTCCACTCCGGTGAAGTCTATCGCAAACTTTCCTGTAATTGAACCAATTACAGACGCCGAAGCGACACATGACAAAAATATGATGACCCCCCGTGAATGCAATGTGGAGTGCAGAAAAGAAAGAGGAATTAATTATGTTATGGGAGTCAAAGGCCAACTTTTACGCAGACTTTCGCCTAGTGTGTCCTGTGCGTCGACCGAATGAATTCGGCGGCGAATAGTTCGGCCTTAGTATCACCGAATGAAATTCGCTACGTCTGTCAGTAGCATAATAGAAATATAGTGTGTGATCCTTTGATTGCCAATTGCTCTACCTCACAATTGAATTTCATAGAATGGCAAGCCCCAGGGTCTCTAATATTTTTCTACCTCAGCATAGTTCTTATTGATAATACGCATCAAGAAAATAGTAAAATTTGAAGATAAATGTGATAATGGGGTGATAATGCCAGAAATATTATTTTATGCAATCTATATGGGATCTCCGATTATATCAATTTTCATGATTTTTCGAGGAATGTTTTATTTCATTGTATTCAAATCCTTTTTTAATAAATATAAAATTTCTTTTTTGGCCTTATTATCCAAAAATAAGAATCCGTGTTTTTCGAAATACAGTAATCTGATTGGAAGACAACATCAGATTTAAAATAAATGTCAGTGCTTGACCAATCAGACTGGAACACTTAAATCCTAAAATCTCCTTAAGATAAGTTTTCAAGAATAAGGCCACTAAAGCTTATTCCTAGCTTAGCTCGGCAAACCATTAGCCTGGTTAAAGCTTCTCGTTTCATATTGGCCTGAGTAAGAGCCTCACTCTTGGGTTACTTACCAGAGTCACAAACTTATAGGCAGTATTGTCCTGTGGTTCTGTCGCGTTAAGATTGTAATTTTTACGTGAACTCCAGTAACATAATTATTGGAGTTGACAAGGTAAAAACTTCTAGTATTTGTTTGGAAGATGGGACAATAAGCTGGGGCTGGTGGTACTAGTGGTATATGCTGTGCGTTCCCACATTATTGAAATTACGTGTAACGTGTCACTCTCTACGGTGCAAGTTTTACATATTTGTTGGAGTGTTTAGCGGTAATAATGTGCTCATTCGTACAGTAAAAAAAGACATTTGACCATTTTACACCCGTTAGGGCAGTACTCCTCAACAATGAAGGAATGAAAGACCATTGGAAGGGATAATTGCCTGGGAGAAATCTGCTGTAGCCATTTCCTACTAAGCATTTGGTGGAATGTGGGTTCAAAATGATTAATGGTGTACTCACAAAGAAAAGTAGTTTGTTGAAGGTACCTGAGCAAGGTGATCTACGACTGAAATTGATATCGTTCACCCCGGACATTAGAAAATCGCAAACGAACATGTATCTCGATAGGTGGAGTATGATTTCTATCCACCAATGGTTAATCGTTGAATACATTGGTAAGAGTAAAATACGTTTCAAAATGACTGATTTATTCCGGGAAGGAATGCGTTAGAATGGTTAGAATGTTACCTGAGTGCCATTATCAGCATTTAGTGCACTAACACGGCTCGGTGTTGTTCTTGGTTCATAATTTGCTGTGTAATTTTGGAATATAGAGCTGGACACTTAAATTGGTTTTCATTAGGACTGCAACGATTCCTAAAGTGGCGATCCGATACACTGAATGATACTCGTTTAACGATACGATTTATTGCGATAATAAATCGCGATTCTTTGATTAAAAGGGAAAGAAAAAGAAAACGGATAATTAATAACATTTTAACACAGTTTAAATTATTTTGGCACACTTAGAAGTCCAAAATTCAATTTTCATCATTTGTTACACACAAGGACTAACGAATTTCTTCAAAAAAATAAATAAAATACCAAACCATTGAAATCAGCTTCGTGGAATTATTTTATGACTAATTGACTATGCAAACACATATTACGCTGGAAAAAGAAAAAGTTTATATCAGATCCCATGCGTTTATCTTCCGCTTGGCATATCAATATGTTCTCTTTTCATCGTTTATAACAAAAATTAAAAATGCTGAAGACAAATTAATACGTGAAAAGCAATTTTTTAACATTTGAACATGACACAATTTCTAAAATACGCGAGGATTCCGTGCTATTAGTCATTAAAGGGAGTTAATTATATTTATGAGAATTCGGCCGATGTATCGCGATTATTTTTTTCTTCCGAAATGCATCGATAAGAAGGAACGAATCGCGGTTCATCGATTCAACGGTGAATCGTTGCAGCCCTAGTTTTCATCTTAAACTGATAGCGACAACGAAAGCTGGGCTGGAGCAAAGTCAAAATTATTGTGATAGATAATTCTAAAGACAAGAATTGTGCTGAAAATGAATAACTTACTGCATTTAGACTTGTGTTTCTTTTGCACATTTTTTGACTATACAGTGGTGTAACCTATTTTCGTGGATATAAGGATTCAACACCGAATTTCGTCAAAGTTAAAAAAACGAAAAAAATTTTTTATGTCTTAGATGTTTCCTCAGATATTCTACAAAATAATAAAAATTGGTTTGTTTCGATTTTCTTTATTAATCCTTCACTTTGACCCATATTTCATGAGCAACCCACTCGGTAACGGCGGCAGAATGCGTCACCTATTTTCGTGTACAATGTTTGATCTATAAATAAGTCTATAAAAACACGTTGTATGGATACCGGGTGGTATAATTAACTTCTCTTAGTATTTATCTTTAATATCAATTCATTATAACTAATGACAATTCCTTCAAAGAACCACGATTTTAAAATAAAATGGTGACTGACAAAATAAGATACGTAGCGTGATTTATTGCTAAAAGTCACTGAAATAACATAAGAATATGGTCCACTTTGTGTTCCATAGAAATTTTCTGGTGTGTTTTATGTGATCTTATTTCTATAGTGTGTGGGTATTTCACAAAGGGAAGTAATTGCAATATGGATGAATTCCTTTGTAATTTCATTATTAGGTATAATGTAGCACCTAAAAGAGTGAAACAGCTTATCCATGGATTGATGTGAATCAACGCTTTATTTTGTGGCAACTTAGAATTCTAACAGTGTAGACCTACGTTCATAAAAAATGAAATGAGTGGAGTTTTACGACTTACTTTTCTGCACCATGTGATGAAGACAGGCAACGCCATGCTGGGTGCAATCGGGACAGTGCAGCGGTATTATAAGCCTGCTCTTTTTCGATTTCAAACTGTCGAGGGATAATGTGCACAGTGTGTAGCACAGTGGGGCCCCTGAGGACAATTTGGCCGTCTTTTCGCTTAGCCGTCGATTCGAGCTCTCAAGTTAGCTGCCCTTTAGTAGCCGCCGCTTCAAAATAGTGATACTAATCTAATTTCATGTAAAAAAAATGCGACATAGGTATATTGGAGAAACAAAGAACGCGCTTCGAACTCACTTTAACGGCCATCGTTACGATATAGTACATGGCAAAAACAAACTGTATATTATCCTAATGGCTTACATATTCAACACGACAACCAGATAATACCCTTCGTTACCATTCAGAAGAAGTTGACTCTTATATTTTCAGCTATTTCAGCTAAAGAAATGATACTACCACATATCTACATATCTTAACCTTTAACTTGCACCTTCTTTTATCATAAATCTTACTTTGTGACCTAGACTAATGCTTTCATGAGCTTATGTTCTCATCACCATCTAACACTAACTCGCCCAAACGATCAAATATTCCTTAACCAATCACTGCCTTGGATAGATAATGTAAAATGAAAGTAGATCTAAAAATAGTACATCAGTCAAATAATCTAAATAAAATAGACATTTTCGGGCTCAAATAACGACCCATCGTAAACAATTTTCAACATTGAATCTCACATATTTCAAAAGGGAATTAAATTAGCTTTCATAAAATCTAGGTTAAAACGTGGTACATTCATATTAAAGGATAATTCACAACATTCTGAAATATATACAATTTTCGACTAATATACAAAGTTAGCAACAACGTGACTTTTCTATCTTTCCAAATAGCAAAGGAGGTAGATTCCTTGATCTCGGTTCAGTTTAAAGATTTCAATAGCTTCCCTTGTCTCTCTCGTGTACTTGTGGGGGATATCCATAGCAAGAATATTTGTTTGGTCCCATTCTATAGTGTGGTTGGGGTGGTTTACTATGTGCTCTGCAACGGCACTGCCTATGTCTTGGGTGTTGATTTTGGTTTTGTACGCCGCTCTACAGTTGCAGTTAACTTTGTATATTAACTCCGCTAGGGTCTGCTGGGCGGGAAGATATTTTACCATTAGCCTGGGGTAAAATTTTGAATGGGGTGCCTATCGAGAAGTAGACTTGAGTATTGAGATCCGCTTATCTGGTAGCTCTGGTGTCCGATTAAGGGTATACCAATCCTTGTTTTAGGGGACTGTGTTGTTGCTAGTCTTTGAGTATGGGTATTCGACTTCAGTGTTTTCGAAATAATGTTGTCTGTGACTTCTTCTGCGTATTTGTTGAAGGTCGTAAATATTTTCTTGATGTGTTCAATTTCTTAAGGTAGGTTTTGTGGATTGCAAATTTCACTGGCTCTTTTTTTTAGGCTGTAATAGTTCCAGTTTATGTATGGTGGGGGTGGAATGATGTGGAGTGGAGTGGAGGTATTGGTCAGTTTGCGGTAGACGGACGTGTTGAGGTTAGTTGGCGTTCTGGAGATGTTGATATCTAGAAATGATAATACCTGGTCTGCTTCTTTTTCTATGGTGAATTTGATGCTTTTATGCTGTTGGTTAAGGTGGTCAAGGAGTTTTCTGCCAAAGCAAAGACGTCGTCAACTTTCCGTTAGGGGTTTAATTTGTGTAGTAGATAAGGCTAGGATCTCAAATCTTGATATGAAGGCTTCGTTTAGGAGTGGTGATAGAGGAGAGCCCATGGATAGGCCATGTATCTGCAGGTACATTTTGGAGTCCCAAGTGAAGTAACCGGTATTAACACATAGCTTAATTAATCTTAATATTATGATGCTGTCTGTTTCTAGTTGGGTATTATTCAAAAGGTTTTGGTTGATAGTGTGGCTGAGGGCATCTATGGCTTATTCTTTTGGTACATTTGTGAAAAGATCGTAGCATCGTAGCTAATTATCTTGCCTATAGGTTGGTTGTCCTTGATAAGGTTGCAACATTCGGAGTCTTTGATGAAGGACTCGGCGAGAGTGCCCATAGGTGAAAGGAGTTTGGATAGGTAAGATGAGACGTTGTAAAATACTGAACCCCTGGAGCATACAAGTAAACGGGTTTTAGCTGGATTTTAACTGTAGCTGTTGCATAAGGTAGAGTGGGGTTGATATTATAGAAGGAGTTATATTGGAGGTATAATAGGTGATTTCTTTATTATCCCGTAGCTCTGTCAATAATGCCTTGAGGCCTGTTAGAAATCTTTTGGTAGGGTTTCTTCTACTGTTAAGTTCCTTGTATGTAGTGTTGTCTTCAAGTGTGTAGTTCACTAAGGATTTGAAGTTGGTAGTGTCCATTACAACGATGGCTTTACCTTTATCTGCTTGTGCTATAGTGATGTCTTTATTCTGACGTAGTCCTTCCGTCCACAATTGCTCGTAAACACTACAAGACACAATTCCTGACGGATTTTGACAAAACTTGGTATGAGTGTTCGTAATCACCCAAGCTATTGAAAATCAGAAGAATCGAAAAATATTTAGTGTGAGTTATTGCCCTTGTTCTTGAAAACGCGTTCAATTTTTAGCTCGTAACCACACTAGAAGGCACAATTCTTGATGGATTTTGACGAAACTTGGCAAGTTCTTGAAAACGCGTTCAATTTTTAGCTCTTAAAGGGATACTACGTCTTAGAATACACTCGTCCTGTGGCTAATATTTGTGTTTAATAGTGACCATTGGTTAAATAAGTATACATCCCACACTTTATCAAGTTTGAAAAATCGACAATAAAATTATAATCAAAATTTAAAAAAAAAAGTGAGCAAGCGACAAGTCAGTTCAGTTTGAGAAAAAAAGAGTCTGGGTAATCAACGCTAAAACAGGAAACAATCATCTTCCGGTTTATAGAAACAAACTTTGCCAATGATTAATATTCGTTGAAAATTGTGTCAGTGGTGGAGTATTCGTTCTAAATTATATGAATTGCTTTTTCGCGGATTCGCTTAATCTCCTATGAGGCATTATTATTCTGTCTTCAAAATATGTCTGACAATCTCGAGGTCAATTCAAGAGTAGATGTCAAGGACGCGGGAAACCCAACTTGAGAGTTACTTCCCCTTGAAAATTACACCGGATTTCCTAGACTCACTATTTGAAAATAGCTTAATGGATGTATTAAGCGTTTTATAATTAATTACTTGATTTTGTGGATATATCGGATTATAGAGGGATTTTGATGTATAGTAAGGACACCAGGTAAGTCCATTGATGGATATATACTGTTATTGGCCAAATTTGAGCAAAAATAAAATGTTATGTTCATCCTAAGACGTAGTATCCCTTTAAACACTCTTGAAGGCACAATTCTTGCTTGATTTTGACAAAACTTGGTTCTATTAATCAGTCCCGCGCTGAAGATTGAATGTTTGCCTTCTAGAGTTTTCACGAGCTAAAAATTGAATACGTTTTCAAGAGCAAGGGCAATAACTCACTCAATATTATTCAGTATCGCCCTAAAGAGTTCAAAAGAAGTGTATGACTGAAGGTATGACAATATTTCATACTGGTGATTGTTATTGTACTGCTAAATAATTTTATTCAAAATAAAGCTGCCAGTGGGCGTATATTACCTTACCTGGAAAGCTATCTTTGAAACACTTAAGTCTCAATATTGAGAATTTTGCACGATGGGCAGTAATTTGAGCCCGAAAATGTCTATAAGTGAAGATTTTAAAAAAGTAAAAAACTAGATATTTCAGAGTGAGGTTGTGTCACAAAGTAGGTTCGGGGATCAGTTTGTGCTCTCGACATTAAACAAAGATGTATTATATAAATTTTATACAACAATTAGTTCTACAAATAAATATTAACCCGTAACGATGTAAATACGACGTTGTATCATCTCTTTCAACTTTTAGACAGGATCTTCCAAGAATTCACAACTCTAGAAATCAGTTCACTAATCAGCTCCACGTTACTAAATTGACTTAACCTATCACATCACTGAAACACTAAACGTTACTAATTAAACACTCAAGTCTAAGATTACTACACATAATACATACATTACGTTATACGATGAAAACCACATAAGTTTTACAGACTACAATCATTGACATAAAAACGTACCACACATGTAACGTATAAACAGGAACAAATGCTAAGTGGAAAAAGTAAGTGTTCGGTCGTATAAGGTTACACGACAATTATCTTTAGAGGTCTGCAGAATGCCGTCCCAGTAGGCCTACATATATACAATGATTACACACCAAATATTACATATTACAGTTTAGACAGCATCACTCCAGTCAGTGACTCACTGTTTGGATACCAGGCGATTCATCCAAAAATATACAGGTAACATTCCCTGATGTAACTAGTACAACAGTATAAAAGTATATAATTACCAATGCATAACTCCTCTACAGTTAGTCTAACCAAAGAACAGTCCACCGGCCGTCCGTCTGTACTAACACTGTCAACAATCATTCAACACTCACGTCTTTTCTACTTTCATCGCACGTGCACTCACTCCACGTGCATACATTCAGAGTCTCATACTTCCAGTCTCTCAAAGTAGTCCCCAGTTTCCATGTCTTAAAACTAAGACCAATATTAACTTTTATTTAAAAATATATATATACAATATTGTGACAGGTGGCTACCTTTTAATATGTATGTGCCAGGTTTTAACCTAGCTTTTATGAAAGCTCATTCGTTTTGAAATATATAAGACTCAATGTTGAGAGTTTTGTACGATGGGCAGTAATTTAGGATGGGTCGTATATTAGCCCGAAAATGGTGAATATTTTGAAAAGAGTGCGGTGGTCACCTTTTAATGTGAATGTGCCAGGTTTTAACCTATATTTTATGAAAGCTCATCTGATGCCCTTTGGTAATATATAGGCCTACGATTAGATCAAAGTTGAGAATTTTGTACGATGGGCCGTTATTGTAGCCCGAAATTGTCTTAAGTGAAGATTTGGAATAAAATAAAAAGATATCGAAAACTGTATTTATTTCAGGTGGGGTGGATACACATCAGCCCCGCTCCTCTGTACGTGTGGCGATCATTGGGGACTTAGTTCTTGATAGACCGCCAAGAAGAAACACAGAAGAAGGACGCAGTATCAAGACTACAGAAGAAGAACCAGAAGAAACCTTGGTTTTAAGTTTTGTTTCTGTATCCATTGTAATAACTAGTGGATCTAATTTTGTGGGTTTAATCACTTTCTGAAGAATGTATATATTTATCACTTATGTTCAATCAGCAGTAATTTGATCGGGAAAAACTAATGTACTATTTTTAGATCTACTTTCATTTTATATCATGTATCCATGGCAGTGATTGGTTAAGGAATAATTAATTGATCATTTGGGCGAGTTAGTATTACCCGTACTATTATTCAAAATTTGAATATAAAAATATTTTGGCTATAAAAAGGAGGCTAACTTGACAGCTCGAATCGGCGGCTACACGAAAAGGCAGCCAAATTGACTTTTTATCCCTCATATCACACTGCAAACATCCGAAACAGATGCAAATGTAGGATGTATATAGAGAAAGCCTCTCTTTAACAAGAGGAAGTAACCCTTGTTTCGATTTGTTACCACAAGGCGGCGCTATAAATTGTTATCTCACGTGAACTTTAACAATTTTATAATGCAAAATAATGGAGTTTAGGGAATTATCACCGAGAAAATGTTCTATATTAACCATTATACTTTTCTTTCTTTTTCAAGAAAAGAATGTCCTGTGTCTCAGGCATGTCGAAAACTTTGAAATATCATCTCTGGGGCTTGATTTGGATAAAAGCACCTTTTCAGATATGAATGTAAACAAACTGCTTGAGAGACATCGACGTGACACCAGTGATAGTGATCCGGTTTGTGACAAACAAGAAAAGACATTCTTAAGTGAAATTTACAATAGTAAAACCAATGAAAATGGTACTAAAATTGAAAACCGGGTTAGTATACTTTTGTTTTTCGATATTCATTATGGTTTCATAAGTAGGCCTATGATGATATAAATATAGGTTGGAACTGTAGGCTACATAGGTAAATTGAATAAAATTGAAACCAACTCATCCTCCAGAACAGTCGAGAAAAGTACATTTCCTAGAAAAGCAAACGTATGCTATTGCTATGTGTCTTAATTTATGCATTTTGGATAAGAAAGTACTATCTCAAAAAAATGTCAATTTATTTCCTTTTTAGAAGATTTTCTTTCATATTCAAATTCTTGTGTCAAACTGAAACTGACATTCAATACTTATTTAGATAAATTATTCTTGACTTAAAGACTAACTGGTTCATCAACACTGAATGCATGCAGAATTATTATATTGTATTATATTATATACAAGTTAACTTTTGTTGACGAGTTAACCAATGAAATTTTGTTGATGTTGACGAGTTGACATGTAGACGAGTTGACATGTAGACTAGTTGACTGGTAATCTATCCAACGAGCAGTGAGCCATGTAATAGTACACTCACTGATTTGAGGGCTTTGCTTATAACCTCTTAATGTGTGCAGTAAGCTATACTTCCTCAAAATGTTGTGGAGAGTGTAAATGCTTTCATACAATTCAATTAAAATACTACCTCTTCTAGCCAGACTTTATTGATTGTTGAAGGGCAAGTAATATATCTGTAGGGATATAGATTTAGATGCAGTAATGGAATTGGACGATGGTCATAATTAGTCCACCCAACCCTGTAGCTACGAGCCTGCTTCTAGCTGTCATCCTCACCCATGAAAATCTAACATCAATGCCCAAAGCTGGTTTGTAGTTTGCAATAGCTTGACATTGTGAAGATGGGATATAAAAAATCTTTAACTATATGTATATATATTATATTTGTTTCAGTGGGTCTTTGATAATGAAAGTAACTTGAATTTAGCTTTGGCCTGGGCTGGAAAAGATGATGATGGGGTGAGTAGGTTTTTTTTTTTTTTATTTAAATGCATTATCTACATGAATTCAAAATAATTTACTGCATTTAAAAATAGGTTACTGATTCAATGTTTTTGAATGGACATCAGGAATACTGCCCAGAAGAGTAAAATAGTATCATGTGTTATATATGCATGTGGTTGGTAAAATGAGAAACTTTATATTTGTAATTTGTAAATCTGATTAAGATTGTTGTTAACAATAACCGCATTTGCGGCGGTAACTCACTGTTTACTAAACTAGAGTAAGTGTAAATGAGTACCCAAGAAGTTACAAATCGACAGATACCAAACAACTCATTGAAGCGTCTGCTTCAATGTACGCTTCAATGTAAGATTACGAGTGGGCCTGACAGAGTTCAGACGGACTGGAGCCATTGTCACTCATTGCTACAGTCTCTAACAGATCAAAGGTTTTTATACCAGCTGTGGTGTCTGTGTAATGAGTGTATCTCATTGAAGTTACTGCGAATCAGGGTAGAACATGCTTAAAAAGCACTGTGTTACATTTCCGCGATTAAATGAAAATAATAACAAGATTCAACAGACCGTGGTGGTTGCCGAACGTCTGATCATGATTACAGAGCTACAGTGCTTATTTGTTTAACTTAATTAACATAACGGTGCACACGGTGACTGTCAACAAACTAAGACCATCATGACGCGATTATCAAGAACTTATATCAAAAAAGAGGCTTGATAATCTTGACCCCAATTCTTGCAACTCGTTGGTGTTTTGATAATTGATATCCTATCTTGATATATTAATCTGAATTATTCAATCAATAAAGATGTTTATTTACTAAAGAAAACAGCTTAAGGACTCATACAGTGACGAATTTTCTGTCAAAATTGCTCGCTTTTTATTTCTTATAAAATTAACCGATTATCTCAAATCAGACCCGGTTACCCGTGAAATACTACCCAAAATCGGTCAACTGATTAACCGTTTCAACACTACAAGAATGTACTGCAATTATTGGATAGTGAAACTCAAAATGGAACAATGGGTTAGTCAATTTGGGTTTCGATTCCCCGGCAATTCATCATTGTTTTCAAAAATGTTCTTTTCGAAATTTCCATTAATAGGCCTACATATGGAACATTGGAGTTATTTTATAAAATTACTATTAGATTCTCTGTTTAATTGAAGAAGATTATAATAGTTAATTTACTAATGAGATTTTCTTGAAATAGTAAGGAGATTTTAGTCCATTTTTTTTACAATTTTAATATTTTGAACTATAATTTATATCTTTTTATATCAGGTGTTGTTGGCTGTTACAACAGAAGATTCTGGAATGACGGTTTCTGCTCAATTATGGAGAAGGTTAGTATGGAATTTTAGAATGTAATTTAAGCCTGAATAATCCCCATTGAATTTAGATATTAGTAATTTTATTATTTTAAATTGAGCTTGTGTCAATGGTACTGTATGATAACATCAGTTAGCATCATTTTGATGCCAAATTGTTTTTAACACAATGCAAATTTTGAAGAAGTTTGAATTTGAAAAATGTTGCTATAAGTATTTTGAGTTTGAGGATTTGTCTTTTCAGTACTGATTTTGGCAGAAACTGGAAGGATCAGAATAAAGATATTGAAAAAGCTGTGATTAGAAAGGGAGATGGAGTTGTAAGAAATCCACACAATTCTAAAAAGGTTAGTTTATTTATATTATTATATTATGAGGAAAGATATTTATTAAGTTACAGTAATGAAATAAGAATGAAAGATTATTATTCAAATTATAGTTAATGATTAGTGAATCGGTTCTCAACAGCTTAATTTAAGTCTAGAAAGTGTCTCATTGTAAATGGTTGTGATGTTGAAGGGTATAGGAGAAATCTACTGACTTGTTATATTGATCTTTTTGTAGGTGTATTTACTGACTTATAAAAATGTTATATATGTAACAGAAGATGGTGGTGCTACCTGGGTCAAGAGAACTGTAACTGCTGAAGGAGATTCACCTGGACAACTCATATTTCATTCTTCACCTGATTATCAAGATTATATATTAACTGTTTCATCCAAGGCCAATGTATGTTCCTTAAATTTAACAAACAGGGTGGACGTACATTAATGAGATATAGTATTTTCTTGATCATATGATGGAGCTCAATTTCAGAACTTCTCTAGAACTTTTTGAAATAAAACCACAAATTCTGCATAAATATTGGATCCATGAAATACAGTTGTTTTCTTCAGTTCGTGCATTGAGCAATTTTTTGACAGTGAAAATATTTTGTTATTGTGTCAAATATTATAGTTATTGTTGCTGTCAGAGAGATATGCCATAGATTGCTTACTGTAGTGTTTCCTGCTGCAAGATATATTATTATTTTTCTAGTTATATGCTACACTTGAAAACTGGAAAGACTGGTCACAGATTAGACAAGGGGTTCATGGCAATATTGATACAGCGTTGTGGTTAGTATATATTTTTAGTATATATTTCTCATGTGATGCTTTAGAATTTAGACCAATAAGAATCTTTCATTCAAAATCATGCTGTAAAGAAACCATGGGTAGTTTCCAGTCTTACTATTTTCTGTCTCTAATTTGGTAACATATACATTACAATTAATGTTGAATCTAAGAACTAAAATTGTTAAATTAAATTGTATTTATTGTCTATCCTATATTTAGGGGTAGTGTAGAATCTGGTTATCCTAAATCAGTATATTGTATGATTGGTAAACCACTTGTTAATATACAAGATTTTATGAACTCACTTATAGGTATGTTTTTTTACACATCAGAATTGCTAACAAAGTTACAAAAATTTCTGGGGGTGTAGTAGCACAATGAAGCTGAATGTCAAGGGTTCAATCCAGTTTCGACTTGCCAGTGATGCAGGGTTTGGCCTGACATGGAAAAGTGTGCAGTCGCTTGGATGACAAACTAAACTGATGTCCTGTGTGCTACGTTGAACCTTTAAAGATCCCTTGACAGTTGGAAATAGAATTGCATGCATTGTCAGTCTTCATTAACACCCCAGGTGTAGGAAGTAAAAAGTAAATATCTCTTTTATTTCATTTCACAAAAATTCCTAGGAATATTTTTTTTTTTTGTGAATTATGACCAAAGTAATATTTAATATTTTATTTTTGTTAGGAAATAAATATCAAAAAGAGTATGTATTATGTCGACATGAAACTACTGGTACTGCTATGTCACAGATTTTACAAAGAGTAGCATCATTTGGTATCAAGGGAAATTTTTATATGCCTCTGTTTTTAGAGATGAAAAGGCAGAACAGGTTTGTGTAAAAAGTTTTAGTTAATTAACAACCTTTGTGTCGTATTTAGAAAAAGAAAGTATTGTCTTTGTGGACCCCTTTCTTGTCAGAAATTCTTAATGTGTTAAAACTTTCTTTACAGTGAGCAATAAATTTAGAAAAACCTGAAGATTATACAGAGAAGCCTGTTGATCATTTTAACTTAGTATAAGTGCATGATTTGATTTTGTATTGTAGAATGCTAAAAGGTTTATGCAGATCTCTACTGATGGAGGTACATCCTGGGCTGAAACTGTTTTACCAACATTAACTGGTGACAGAGTAAGTATTGTTTCTATTCTATCTCTCATGAATTCACAAATTCTTGTTGCAACGTAAGATATAAAATAATAAATGGTATAACTATTAGGTTAGCCCTAGTAGAGAAAGAGAAAATAGACTGGTGTGGTCAGTAATGAAGCTTCCACAAAGATTCAACGATTTTAAGTAACTCCAATTTACTTCCTTGATTTATATCAACAACTGTTGCTTGATAATTATGATTTAATTTTTCAGTTTTATTCAGTATTAGATATGTCTGAAGAGTTGATATTTTTGCATGTTGATAATCCTGGAGGTAAGTTTAGAAACCCTTTTTAGGAAATCCTCTGTACAAGTGGGAATTTCTCCTTGGTTTTTTTTTTTTTCACCTGTCTTGTTTTTTTGTGGTTTTTTTTTGTGTTTTATATTTCTTTATGTCTTGTTTTGTTGCTATAGTTGTGTGTTGAATTAAAATCAATTGATTTATTTATATATATAGATACTGGTCATGGAACATTATTTACATCAGCTGCAGAAGGACTGGTTTATTCTGAATCATTAGAACGTCATTTATATCCCAATTATGGACATGGAGTCACAGATTTTTATAAAGTAGAATCTATTCGTGGTGTATATCTGGCTAGTCAAATAGACAGTGATGATTCTATTCATTCAATGATTACGTTCAATCGTGGTGCCACCTGGCAGAAGATAAAAGCTCCTGAAAATAGTGTTTGTAAATCAAATGTAAGCAATTCCTAAAATATTTGAAGATTTGGATGGCTATATAGCTAGGGTTTTGTTTGAAAGCAGACAATTGTTCATGTGAACCACAGTCACATTCATTTCAATACATACTTTTTGTAAGTCAGGCAATGAGTCCGTCAAGACACTGCCCAATGCCCAACGATGTCACTGTTGCACCATAAGGTGCTACAATAAATTCAAGGGGTATGATTTTTCCTCCTTTGTACAATTCTGCAAGTATAATATATGATAGAATGAAAATGTTGTGATTGAGGTCATGGTGCTATATTGCCACATATTAGTGTTTGTAGATAGTTGAGCACAACGTCTGGTGATGTACACATCATAATCTAAATCACTTGATCTACACTCTTGCAGATATTACACTGAATTGTACAAAGGAGGAAAAACCATACACCTTGACTGCAAGTGAAAATATTACCTATATTGAAATACAGATGTATTTAGTTTGTTAATAAGGCACTTAGTCTATTGTATAAAGTTAATATTATATTTTAGAGTTGTTATTTGCAAATACACAATAAATATAGTGTAGCTCGTGGTATTAAAGCCAAGTTACCATTAAGTATTCCTGATGCCAAGGGTTTAGTACTAGTGCATGGTAAGTACATTGACTGTATTTTATTCTTATAACAACAATACAATCAGTAGTATTAAAGTCACAAGTTAGTTAAACCATGAAGGAGAAATTCACTTAAAATTAGAATGATTTAACAAATCTAGAGAGCTGTAATATTTTGCCTTAAAGATGAGGATTGCCTCTGATGGTAGTGATCATGTAACATACAGTATCAATTAATGAAATGTTTATTATTGTATTCAATATTTTATTTATACCATCTAAATAATCATATTTACAGATTGTCCAGTGCATAATAAATGACAAATGGTTGATTTAATGTAATATTGTTTCTGCAGGTCATGTTGCAGATGCATTACAGACTACTTTACCAGATGTATTTTTAACCAGTGATGGGGGTTATACATGGAGAAAGGTGAGAATTTTGAATTTAAATTATTTACTTTTAGAGTTCTTTTGATGGACCATATGTTTCCATTGAAATTTTAAAGAGCATTTCATAGAAATATCATGTTTTTTGAAACTTTCTAAACCAGAATATATATACTATATATACTGTGTGTAATAAAATGCTCTTTTCATAGGTATTAGATGGTCCTCATTCATATCAGATAGCTAACTCTGGTGGTCTGATAGTAGCTGTGTCTTTATCTACCAATACACCCAAAATAGTGAAATTTTCTACTGATGAAGGTCGATGCTGGCATGAGTATGAATATACGGATGAAGATATCAATTTAACTGGCTTATTAACAGAGCCAGGAGGAAAGAGTATGACCTGCTCTATTTGGGGATATCATAAGCAAACACATAAATGGACGGTTTATGTTATTGATTTTAAGGATGTTATTGCCAAGGAATGTAAGTATAGATATATGTTTTACTCGACACTTTTTGTGCTATGAACATCATTATTATCTGTTTTCTTTGAAGTCAAAGTTCAAATCAGGTTTCTCCTATTCATTTATTTCCTTCCAATTTTCAACCCGGTTTCCCCCTGTCAGTGATGCAGGTAAGAGGGGCTGACATTAACCCACATCGTGCAGAAAAGTAGGACATAAAACTATTCATTTCATTTTCATTTTCCTAGTCATTTAAGGAGCCTACTGCTCTGATGATACAAATAACCATTTCATAGATTATGTGCAATCAGAGGATACAGCAAGAAATTGAAGCTTGAAATAAACTAGATGAGAATGGATTCCACTAAAACAAAGTGGTTGATGATGTCACTAATATGGAAGAGCCTTATGTCATACAACCATATTTTGCGATTAGTGACATAATCAAACACATACAAATTTTAATAACCCCTTATAATCTGTTTAACTATAATTTATTATAAGTTAATGTTAAAAATATGAAACATGAACTAAATTTTCTGCATTTAAAAATCTTCATAAATTAAAATTTGAAGGTAATTCTGATGATTATGTTGAATGGAAAGCTCATGAATCACTGCGTAAAAAAGAAAATTCTGGTGTAGAAGGTTGTTTATTGGGTAAAAAACAAAGTTTTAAAAAACTGAAGCCAGATTCTTGGTAAGTAAAATTACTCAATTTTGAACTCTTGCAATTTGAATTTTGTTTAAATCTTGGGGAAATTGTAATATGTAAATTGAAGTTCGTATTAAACTTAGATTTGATTAAAAATCAGTTTCGAGATTTTCTTAAAATTAAAAAATTAAAATTTCTGCAAATTTCTAATTGGATAGCTATGATTTGTCAAATTGAATCCTTCCTATTATATACATTTAATATCAACTGTATGATTTTACAGATCTATTTTAACATTAACAACAATCATATATATCTTCTGTATTTTATTATATTTTTTATTGAAATATTAGGTGTCACAACACATACTACTATAAACCAATAGAAAATAGTAAACAGTGTAGCTGTACAAGAGAAGATTATGAATGGTACGAATCTAAAATGATGTTTTTTTAGATGCCTACTTTACATAGTGGAATTAAATTGTCATTGTCTCTAATGTTTCCATTATTCTGTTGAAAGGTCCTGGTGAATGTGATGAAATATATTTTCAATCAGATTTTTAATGAATTTGCATAGATAAATGAAAGCTTCATTACTTGTTCAATGTTCATCTGACAAAATTCAGGGTACAATTTCATGTCCAGTCTACCAACTGCTACTTTTGGCAGTATTTTCTGTCTCGGTGTACAGTTTTATTGTAATGTCATGGGGATCAGACTAATTTCTACTGATATACAGTGCTGGATTAGCACCAATGACTGCGAGTGCCTGGTACTATCTTGTACTATCTTGTACTCACAATTTTTCACAATATTTAAGTATTGGACTATGTAAACTATAAAATACTACCGGTACTCATAATACATAATTCTGACTTAGTATTTCTATTATTCCAGTGAATTTGCCTTTAAACGTCCAGCTGGAAGTGATCTGTGCTTAGTAGACCCTAATTTTAAAAGTGGAGAGCTGGATGTTTGTGAAAAAGGAGAGATTATAAAACTCATCACCAATGGGTAAGAAAACTACTTAATGTACATCCCTTAGAGTTTATTCTATTTCTTATGTAGATTTCTTAAGATCCTAAAAATATTGCTTCTCTAAATAAATAAAGGAAGTAACTCTTGCGAAGAAGATAGTTTCAAACCACAATAGTAAGACTTTTAATCTTTCATTCAGTTTTAAGTTATACTTAGATCTGTTTATAGATATCGTAAAATACCAGGAGATGTTTGTGTTGGTGGATTCCAACCTAAAGATGAACATGTTGACATGAAAGCAAAATGTGATTCAAGAATTAAAGAGGAAGTATTGAAAGATGAAGGAAAGGTTGATAAACATTCACAAAATAAAGAATCAGAGCCTACTAAACATACAGCTATTTCAGTAAGTCAGATTTAGCCTTATGGACAGATTTTAAAAAATTTCCTTAAACTATCAGTATGCATGAAATATATATCCAGGTTATGTTACCTTTTAGGTAAAGTTTTTTTAAAAAATTAACGGCTGGATTTTTTTTGTTAAAACTTTCAGATAGATTTTGGTTCATAGTTTTCACAAATTTGAGCTAAAAAAATATTAGATCTATAAAAAAAGCGGAATGTCCCTTTAACAATGAGTAAAATATAGAAATAAAGAGGAAAAAAATATGTTCATTTCGCATTTAAATTCATTGAATTACTCAAATGCATTGAGTCTGAGTTTCGCATGTTTCTTCATGTAGCTTTTTTTGTCCACAACAACAGAACTCTTACTACATTTGAGTCTATCTAAATGTTAGTCTATTACAAGTTTTTGTGTTGACTGTAATAGTATTCAAACTTTTATAGATTATGATAGTATTCTAGATATATAGTGGTGTAACCTATTTTCGTGCATTTAAGGATTCAACACCGAATTTCGTCATAGTTGAAATAAACAAATTTTTTTTTATTGTCTTAGATGCTTCCTCAGATATTCTACAAAATAATTAAAATTGGTTTATTTCGGTTTTCTTTATGAATCCTTCTATTTGACCCATATTTCATGAGCAACCAACTCGGCAACGGTGGCAGAATGCGTCACCTATTTTCATGTACAATGTTTGATCTATAAGTAAGTCGAGAGAAACGCGTTGTATAGATAATCAGTGGTATAATTAACTTTTCTTAGTATTAATGTTTAATATCAATTCATTATAACTAATGACAATTCCTTCAAAGAACCGTGATATTAAAAAAAATAGTGACTGACAAAATAAGATCCGTAGTGTGATTTATTGCTAAGAGTCATTGAAACAACATAAGCATATGGCCCACATTGTGTTCCATAGAACATTTCTGCTGACACAGAATCTGCTAGTTGATCACGTGATTTCATTCGTTGGACTACATTCTAGCAGACGCAGAGGTCACGTTAGTTTGCACATGTAAATTATTAATCATTTCTGGAGATGCACAAAACATAGGTTAGCACAATATTAGGTTACTTGACTGTATAGATTACAAATATACTGTATGACTTTATTTGATATTACAGGGTACCCACTCTACACTAGTTACTGTGATAGTAATTATAGTTTTAGTTTCAGTTGTCACCATAGCATCTTTCTTCTTATATAAAATATATCTTTTACGTAAACAGTAAGTATTCAATTACCTTCTCACCAATATTGTAAATGAACATGGTTATAATAATAAACTCTTTATTTTACATGGGTCAGAATTATGCCCGATACACAAGGACATGTTCCTGTCTAACATTCAGCCCATGGGGACAATATCATGAAAAAAAAGAGATAGTAGTAGATAATGCTGTAAATGGAACTTGATGTAGCTATACAGCACAGGCTATCCAACTACATTATTTAGAGAAAACTGCCTTGTATTGTAAGCATATTTTATTCTTTTTGTGGCTATCAAATATTTTATAGTAACTTATAGTGTTTTTCATCAAACGGTATTTAACATTTATTTCAGTAAAGTTGTGTATCGATATTCCCTGTTAGCCCAGAATCAAGGGGAAAATCAAGATTTTGATGCCAATTTGGAAGGAGTATTAACTAATAATTCTTCATTGTATAATGATGACTCTGATGAAGAGGTTTGTTTATGTTTGAAGTATTGTCTAACAATAGAATAGTGTTTTCATGTAAAAGAGCCTAGAATCTAGTCTACTCTTCACAGCGAGTGCAATCTCTGGGTATAATTGGCATCTGATAAGAAGCAAATATGCATAATGTAAACTTTGTTCCTTTATTATTTGAAGTGAAGTACGATTGTGTATTTATTTTGGTATTCGACTTATATTGATCTGAATTGCAGCAAGATACAGCAAAATCTAATGGTAATCCATTTGAGAATAATTATAGATCTACTGGATCATCTAATGTTAATGTGACCAACAATATACCACCAGTTAAATCTTATCATGATGATTCTGATGATGTAAGTAAATGTTAACAATGTTATAATTTCATTATGAAAATTCATTATTAAGCCACTAAAGTTTTGTTATCATTTCTGACAGCTGGTAGTGGGTGTATGTTACCTTGCCTGGCAAGCTATCTTTTTTTTTAAATCACATTTCTATTTTTACTTGTGGCTCTTCACTAAATATAGATGATAATTTTATTATCTATTTATTTTATTCATATTTCAAGTCGCCCTTTCTTTTCTTTGTGGAATTCATATCTATATTGTTTTATTCTCGTTTTAGGATTTGTTAAATTGATGTGATAAGAAAGCCACAAGATCATTCCTATATATTATTATTGGTACAGTGAGATGTATATAATTATTGGTACTCAACTAATCTTTCGTCTGTGATATACACAGTTTCCTTCTATTTCTTTATATATTTGTATATTAGAGAAAGGCTTCATGTTCAGCCTGCACTTAGCCAGTGGTGGTAGTCAAAGACATTATCTTTTTGAATTGCTAAGGAATCAGAATCAGAAATTTGGAATGTATGTACAGCTTTAGCCATAACATTTGTTTTTTCAGTTTATACTGAGCTTTTCTAGCAGTAGTAATAGTTTCATACTTTTATTTAAGTTCATTTTGTCCCTAATTCTCAACTACTTTTGATTGTTTTTCAGGAATTCTTTTAGAATGTTATCTTTTATATCATTGTCTGTGTTTAAAATTTTTATGAATCTTTGTTCACAATGATTCTAGTTAAAGATGTTTTTTTTTTGCAATACCATTGGATGTAGACAAATCACTTATTATTTGCTCTCCTATAGATCCATTGAGTAATATAAGCTATTGTCTTGAATAAAATAAAGATTTGAAACTAACATTTGTGGTGGAAGAGTATTGTATAGATTTCATAAGGAAATTATTAGAACACACTGATTTTTTTCAAGTATATCACAAGATTTGCTGTATTGCCTATAAAAGTATGTAACTATTGACTGACAGATGTATTTATATTGATATAATTTTGGTGGAATTAAAAGAATTGAAGATTTATTTGTGTACAAGTAAATTTGTAATTATTCTGTATTATATCATTTATGTACTTGTTTAACCTTATTAGAATTAATATAAAATATTACTACATATTGAGAATTAGTACCAGACCTATATGTTTGTTCAACAGGTTTTTCTCTTTTAAATAGATTATACCCACTCCTTTTGGACTTTTTCAATTAAAACCTTATAACTGACTCCATGACTTTAACTTCTACTGATAGTTTTGTTTTTTATTTTATATATTAAAACTTAAAAATTCCATATACATACACATCTTTCAAAGAGACAATTCTTATGAAAACTTCCTAAACATACATTATATAAAGGTTATTTGAGGTTATAACTGTTTTGTGAAGATTTTAGTGTGGTGAAGCCTTTATCTCATTTGTAGAAAGTAGACTCTGTTAAATGTTGAATTTACCGTTGTATTTCTTCAAATTTGATAGTTCTTTGATACTGTAATTTTTCACATTTCCAGTTAATAGATAATATCCAGATAAGTTTTTTTTGATGTCCCTGAATGTACATTAATTGCTTTATATTTATTTTCTATGCTTGTTTTGTGAATGGTTGTCACATTTTTATACGCCCACGGCGTATATTGCCGTCACCCATGACCATCTGTCTGTCTGTCAATCACCCAAGGTGAACCCTATTGAAAATCAGAAGAATCCAAAAATATTTAATTGCTATTGCCCTTGTTCTTGAAAATGTATTCAATTTTTAACTCGTAAACACCATAGAAGGCACAATTCCTGACGAATTATGACAAAATTTGACATGAGTTATCTGTTTGAAAATAAAGGGGTGTAATATTAATATAATATTCAATTTTGTTTGATTTAGAAATTTCCTGTGTATATAATATTATCAGATTACAGGCTAGTACCAATGTTACTTTTATGTAATTCTGTGAAAGAAAGCCTACAAACTTGAATAGTCAAACAATAGCGTTTCTATAGTGTTGGCCAGGGGGTTTTGACAACTTGACAATTCTGTGGCCTCCTTCACCTAATGTTTCTTTAAAACACCACTGCAATCACCTCACTGTAAGTTCATTGAATTGATTAAGGAATGTCCTTAAATCTTAACTTAAAACACAGTGAAATGTAATAAGTACTATTGGTCTGAGAACATAAGAAACTCTTAAAGAGCATTATTAATTGGTATATTGGTATTTATAGGTATAACAGACTTTCTTATCATAGATTCTAGGTTTCTTTATTTCACTTGGAAATACATTATAAAATAGGGTGAAGGTCAAGTGATATGTATCATGCTGTAATAAGTTCACATACACAGTGTTATTAATTTACATAAACTATTTTCTGTGTTTGATTGATTTGTAATTGTTTTGCTAATTTAATAAATATTTTTTTTGTGAGTTTATTATTCTGAATATGGGTCTAATTAGTACCTATTTACATTGAGATACATCTAAGATGATTAGATCTACCAGTCAGTGACAGTGGCTGTCAGTGGGTTGTAAAAATGATTTTGCCATGTGCAGCTACTCCTGAGATTAACTAGGTAACGACCATAACAATATGTACTTAGTTCTAACAAAAATGTGGGATCGTGGACATAGGCTTAACTAAAATTGAACTGACTTGAAAAGGATACTGGATAGCATTGGCCTTTGGTCATAATTGCCTTATGTAAGCAAACATTGGCACCTGTTTCAATCAAGGCATCAGAAATCACATCACATTTTCCATTCCAAAGTGTGATTCCAGTAGCCTATGTATTTCAAATTTAACTCCATTGAAATTTTTGATGGGTGTCCTTTTGAGGGATATCCTTGTTGAATTCGAGCTGAGGATTACAATTTGAAAGCAGCCATATCTTACAATTTGGCATCTAGGCAAATTTTCATCAGACTTGATTTTTATATTACCAAACTACATGCCAAAATGTGTTTTCAGACGTGATTTAGATATGTTAAACTGTAGGGAATGGGTATGTTAAAGAACACTGTCTTCTTGGCCTAGCCTTTCCAAATAGCAATTTTTATTCTGAAATTAACATTGGCCAGATGATCTTGTGCCAGTGCAAATATTTTCATCTTGATTTAAATAAAATTAATTAATTGCTAGAAATGAATATATTTAACAAATACAAAATGTACATGGATTATTAAGAAGAAATTATTTTCTTGCCTCATCAATAAGTCTCTGAAGCATTAACTAATGGAGATATAAATAAAGTGATTTTAGTTGTAGGATAGCATATTTTTTTAAATTTCATGTGTCTTATAGAATAGAATTATAAGACCAGTTTGTGAAGAAAAGACATGCTGATTAGTGATTTATTGACAAAATCAAAATGACTTTCACTGTAGCCTAAAACAAAAATGAAAGAATCTCAACATAATTCTTATACCGTTAATTCCCTCCATCTTCCCCATATTTTAACTACTGTTTTTTGAATACAGTAAGCTTTCACAATATGGAGGCCCAATATCACACTAAAATAAATGTCTTTGTGAGCCAGTTTTACAAGATTCACTCTCAGCAGTGAGCAGACCACATTACGGTGTTTAGTCTACACTTTAAAAATTTATTTTTTGGTGACATTAACCATAGAATTGTATACTGTTCTATGCATTAACATAAGTCTTATTAATAATTCTTATTTATTCGTTAAATTCATCCATATCGACTTATATAAGAATGAATATCTATCTTATGCTATATGTTCGAAAAGATTGTACGCTGTCACTTTAACAGTGTTTGGCTGTGTTTGCTGAAGTTCGGTGGTAAAAAGGCATGCTCGTTTCTTTCCGCAATGACGTCAGTTATTTATAGACGTCACTAGTGAAATCACAACAAAAGTGTTAAACCGGTGTGACTGCCAGTAGGTAACTAAGAACAGGTAGGGAAGGTAATTTTCATCTTTGCTACAAGCGACCTGATAAATTATCCTAAATCAAGCTCATATTACTGAATTTATCAAGACAAAATAGCAGTATTGTTGGGGAACTCTATAATATTTAGAACATGGCACAGGCACAGACACAACTTGACAAGACGACTGCACTGTGTCTGTGGACATTGTGATGGTGGGCGTAACTTAGACTTAGTCAAGTTAGGGCCTAGTGCTGGTAGTTAGTAGGCCTACCTGTGAAGGAGGGTCATCCTATGTATGAATTACATAATGATTTTTACCAATGATTCAAATGATCTATTTTACAAACTATGATTTTTGCCTTCATAATCAGGCCCATAATAGGCTAAATAAAAAGATTTCTAAACTAAACTTACGCCTATATATATATATAGGGCCTACTTATGCTAGTTAAGTTACTTAAAAGTAATTCAAGTTGGTCAACTTATTTCTAACTTTGAGGTGCCAAAAACCATCTAAACCTTTTGATTATGTACAAAGACACCGTAATTGGTCCTAAGTACAAGGTGGGGGTGAGCAAGGGCCTCAAAACTGGCAATTATTTCGCTATGTTAATTTTGTATAAAAATTTTAAAAAAAAATAGAGCGAAAGCATACTAAATTAGTATTTGATTAAGCAGTTTGATCAAGATTGTTTTTTAGTGTTACTGTTTGGCCTTGTTACCTTCAGTAACATATTTCTCTACTATTAGGTTTTTTATTTTGCTAAAATTATAATATCTTGCTTTTCCAACTCAACCCTAAAACTAAATTTATAACAGATTTACCTAAAAAAAGTCAGACAACAATAAGATTATCATGATTACTATTTTGAAGGTCGGTTTGGTCCAAATGGACACAAAACATAAATTACAGTGGCGGTACCGGTACCAAAAAGTAAACTTATCATTTGGCTTAGATCAAGCTATGCTATAGACTTATTTTAGTAGCCTATAATCATTATTCACGAATTAGCCATATTCAATCCAGAACGAGGCTCATAACGCAAACATGAAAGAGATAACGTGTCACTATAAAATCACTACTTTGACGTCTTCCTGCTCCATTCTCATATTTGACTTAAAGTCAGTTAATTGATTAAATTAATTACTTTGATGATATCTTCAGATGAAGTTTGCCCTCAAACATCTCTGAGAAAGAGCAGTTTTAAGCCGATTATCTTGCTGTTGACCAGGTGTTAAGCGACATATATTTAAGTGTAAGTTTAAGCTAAGATTAGAAATATAGGAAGTTAACTGTACCAAATGAAACTGATCAGCAATTGGAATTGCACAGGACTTGGTTTTATTTTCCAGTAAGCTTACTACATGAGATCTCTCTTGTATAATTTCTTTAATATTTGCCCTGAAGAGAGGAAACCAGTTTTAAGAATTTTTATTCCTTCTGGGTGAATGCTTGGAAAAACTTAGTTCATTCCCGAAACATAAGCTTATATTTAGTGCAGTGAAAGATTTGTTTATGTTACAGGCCTGGTATGGTAAGATGGAGAATGGTATAAAGAAAGGGATGAATCTGTATACATGGAAGGATGTAGAATCTCATGATAAACGCGATGATAAATGGATTGTTATTGATGGTGAGGTATATGATATTACACAATGGAGTAAAAAACATCCTGGTGGTAGTAAAGTAATAAGTCATTATGCTGGACAAAATGCAACGGTAGGTGTTGATGATTTTTCTTGTTAAATACTCATTGTAATAGTACCATGTATATAAAGTTAAGACCTTTTCATAAGTCAATGTATTTAAAGGCAAAAAAAATAAACATGACTTCATGATTCAAACACCATCAAACATCCAGTCCAAAATCTTCATTGAATTTTAGTCTCTATGACAGAAAATATTCTGTCTGATGCTTGTAGAGAATGTCAATTTTACATCCATTTGGTACGATCCATGTGCTAAGAATTCTCGTTTGGTGAATTTTATTTTAACCTATAAGTTTATACCTTAGTGTTAATAAAGTATGTTTTTTGTTCAACTGTCACTTGTTATTCCAACTAAACACACAAAAAAACACATATAAAAAATCCTGTAACTGTATGCATTCGCAGTTTCACTTTGGAGTTTGTTGTGTATGACATTGATATGAAAATGTGCTTATATTCATTGGGAATTTGGCACAAATTGAAATTACTGTGCATTACTTTACAAGTTGCCAAATGGTGTTTGATTTATTAATATCTCAGAAATCAATGAACTAGGCTATAAAATGAGGTATCTATTTTAATTACTTCAATCACAATAGGTTTTGAATATTAAATTACCATTTAAATAATAATGATATTGATAGAGTGGATCTAGGAATTCAGTCAACTGAGTTACAGTAATTTAAGAGCAATTCCAGTAGTAATCTCAGTACCAGCAATAAAGATAATTATGGCATAAACGGTTATTGGTGTATTGTTATTTATAAACAATTTAAACTAAGCTTATAGGACATAGAACTAGTTAACAAATGAAAAAGCTTTAATCAGACTGTCACATTAGACAGTGACCATTTGTGATCTTACCGCAACCAAAAATTGGACAGCTACTAGCATGACATACCAGTATACTGATATTTTAGATAAATTAACTTAATATACTTAATATATACCATGGTATCACTGATTTCAAAATTTATTTAGTATTTTGTCAGTGTTTGTTATTAATAAGCTTATATATTTTATTTCTATAATGTAATATGAATTATGACAATTCATGATGCTGTGTGTGACACTTATTTAAGCTTGTCATTTTCATTTATTATGAATTACAAGTTCACATAGTTCACTTTCAGCACTTCATTTTCTATATGTATTACTATTTTTTTCAGCAAGCATTTAATGCCTTTCACAGCGATATAAGCATTCCAAGTAAATATTTAAAAGCAATTCATAAAGGCAGTTTAAAAGAGGAAGAAAAACAGATCTCAAATATTGATCAGGATTTTCAAAATCTCAGGGAAACTGTCCATAAACTTGTAAGTTATGTATTTCAATTTACAGTGGGATCTTTTGTTGAATTTATGTATTAGAATATATTTTATTTGTATTTAAAGACATGGTGTAAACAACCATAATATTAGCTATTAATGATGTTAAAGAAATCCTTGATAATCAGATAAAACAAGTTTGAATGGTAAATTTTATATGATAAAAGTGATTAAATCAGCTTAATATATTAAGTATATATTACTATTATGAAGTATCAAATATTAAATCTGAATTATGTGGATTGTCTTATAATTATCTGATTTTTTGCTACTTTTCTGAAAATTTGGCACACATTTTTAACATTCAAATATCAGTTTATCAGCTAGCCTTGCTATCCATGTTTCTGGTATAGTAATAGAAATAGATAAGTATGCTAATGCTACTTATAGTATTACCTTAATTGCACTCTATATTGGCTTGCTAGGTTTTGTTAGTCTAATCAAAGACAGAAAACAATACATGGTACATTTGATGCACAATTTATGTTGTTACTTGTGTTATTACATCATGATATAAATAAAGAAATTGTCAAACATAGCCTTATAATTAATTTTATTTCAGGGAATGTTTAAACCAAGTTACTGGTTTTATGGCTTAAATATGTTTCATGTAATAGCTTTAGATGTTGTGGCCTATTTTATACTACGTTACTTTGGTATTGGATGGATGCCTTTTATTATCTCTTTAGCTATATCAGTGGTAGTACAGGTAAGATATCATCAGTTATAATGAAGTTGTCAATATCATTTCCATATTGATACTTTATTAAAGAAAATATTTTGCCAATTACCAGTATTTTCATCTAAAATGAGCAATTTTTATTTGCCAATATTCCAAGTGCCTACTTCTGCCTATGCACAGTAAAAAGTATAAGTAAAACTGGTTGCAATCATAGGACCCAAATATATTTTTGATGGAGAACAATGTAATTTCAAAATGTTATTGTTTAGATTATTCTAATCATCTTTTAAATGGTCTTATTTTAATGTTATTGTCTTTTATTACAGATTCAATCAGCATACCTGGCCCATGATTTTGGTCATACTTCAGTTTTTGGAACAAAATATAAAATTGATTCTTTTCTTGAAAGAATATGCCTAGGCTTTATGAAGGTAGGCTTTGTGCATTTAACATTTTTTTTTCTCTCTTTTAGTTCAGCCAACTTTAATAAGGTGAAGCCAACAGTCACTGATGTGGTACATGGTCTCACTTGCTATGGTCATTGGCGACTATTGGTATTTTTGTATGTCCACAAGTTTGTTTGAATGATCTGGACAAAAAAAAAAGTTGTAGACTTTCAAATGCATTTACCACTTTTGATAAATTATGTATTTATTTGGGTTTGTAGGGAGGTTCAGCTAAATGGTGGAATCATATGCACTTTCAACATCATGCTAAACCTAATGTGGTAAGAACAAATGTTTGTTGCTAATTTTTTATACAAGATTTATTCAAGGCCGAAAAAAAAGGTTACATTTTCTGATTAATCATTTCTATTGTTCTAGTAAATGCTAAATTTATATGATTTATTTACAGTTGAATAAAGATCCAGATACAAGACTAGAAGCTCTGTTTGTTGTTGGTGATGTCATGCCTGTCAAGGTAATTGTCATTTAAAGAATTTCATATGCAGGACGTTTCGAAATTAGAGCCCATCGTTTTTATATGATTTTCATAAAGTTTGGTGTGGTATGTTTATTTCAACAAGATAAGTTCGAATCTGATGAAATTGAACAAATAATAACAGAGTTTCAACGATTAATATACTGAAATTATTTTAAATGTGACTTATGAATAAGATAGAGGTGACAGTTTATGCCTGAATTTTATTTAGCGTGTAGCTTTAGAATTTGTACAGATTTGAATCTGAGTGCATTTGACAACCAATACCAGAGTTTTATCAACTGATAGTTTATCAATACATGTATACTGAAAATTTATCAGGGAAGAGGCCTTATCTTGCTAAGCAACCACGTTCAGATGTTGGTGACTAAATCAAGCTGCTGCATGTATTGTTATAAAGTTGACCTGTATTACCATATATAATGTCTTGATGTTTCTAAACGCCATGTTTTCAGACTAACAGTTGTTATATTATCTCTTTTTGCTGTAGGTAGCAGAAAGGAAAAAAGATAGCATGCCATACAATTGGCAACATAGATATTTTCTTGTTAGTAAGTAGGCTATTGATTTATCAAGCTACGATTTATAGAACATTGAAAATGTATTTTAAAACCTAAAATATCAATAACTGTTTTCTTATGGCAAAGGCAGAAAAGTCATAGTGAAGTTTGCATGAAAAGTATGTTTTGAATACCAGCTCTTATTATCATATTTTTATTGGTTGATCATTTCAACTATTGGAAATAGCTTAAGAAAATACTGTTAATCAGATGTTGTATTTGAAGATGGCCACCTTTTGTTTTTCTTTTTTCTTCACAATTTGCAACCTAACTAAGAATCTTTTGTTCAAATATAGTGGAAAGCATGCATTACCTGGTGCAAGTAAGACTAATTATTTTTGCATAAACAAATGTTACAATTTCAGTTGGACCACCATTTTTATTTCCTGTTTATTTCCTGTATGCATTGAATCGCCATATTTTAACTCGAAGAGAATATCTTGTGAGTATATTTTACATGTAGTATGAATTAAAACTTAAGTTTAACCTAGGAATTGTTTTCTATCCACGAATCTGAGGCCTTGATGTTCTACAAACTTGTATATTGTAAAGATCCATTGACACTGACTGATTTCTTTATCCAGGAAAAATTTCCTTCAATGCACAGAACATCTTGTTGCCCATTTTGTAAGTCTTCGGGATCAGAAAAGGTGCATTGTCTCTACTGGATTTGACCAGCATTCTTTTTTTCAGGATTTTTTCTTTACTATATGTTATTGGACTAGATATTGGTATCTATATGGTGGGTTATTGGGTTTTACTTCAGCTCTCGCCTTTCAACTTGTTATGAGGTAAATCATTAATTATCGTTTGCCTTATTCTCAAAAACTTAACTTAAATAAATTCAGATTTAAAAAATACAGGAATCTGGTTGGATAACAAAACCAAATGTAAAATAAATTATAGTCATTGACCAATCAGATGACTTGAACACTAAAATCATTTTAAGTTTTCATGAATAAGGCCCCTGGTCTAGTAGCATTGTGTCTAAACCACTCCACATCAAATAATATATGTTATATAATATTGATCAGAAGATAATGTGAGAAACACAGCTTGGGATTTCCAAGAATCTCAGTTGTTTGATTTTACCTGCAAGGCAATGGAATACTAAATGTGATGTCTAGCGCTTTTGTTTTGATTGAAAGAGTTGTTTAAATTTCAGCTGTAATTATCATCTTTGAGAATAAAAATCCAATATCTGATTTGCCTAAAATTAAGAAAAAAAAGAAGGGAAAAAGTGAATATTTTGATGACTATATCTTTAAATTTACTTGATATATGAGAAAACTATTTTGTATTATTAAAGGGTATTTGAAAGTAGTTGGTTTACATGGGTCAGTCAATCTAATCATATCCCAATGAGTATTGAAGAAGATGATGCTAAACCTTGGCTCAGACTACAATTAAATGCAACATGTAATGTAGAAAAATCAGCCTTTAATGACTGGTTTACTGGACATTTAGATTTTCAAATAGAACATCAGTAAGTATTTCTATTATAATCTTTATTTTAAGATAGTGACAATAAACACTGTAAAGTAATATAAGAATATTACACTAAATCACTAAATTATAAATTTTTATCATTGATTTCACAAAATTTGTGCTTTGAGTCTAGTTTTACTATGGTTAGATTAGGTAGTCTGCTAATACTAATAGTTTGCTGAATTGTAGTACATATCTATTTATTTTCAGCTTATTCCCAACAATGCCTAGACATAATTTATATAAAATCCAGCCATTAGTCAAGTCACTCTGTGCTAAATATGATTTGAATTATGAGGTGAAACCATTATTAAAGTCCTTTAAAGACATTGTCAGGTAAGTTTTAGATTTTTATATGTGTTGAGATGTTTGACTGATTAATTACAGATTTGAAATTGAACTAAACATGAAAATCAAATTAATGGCTGTCTTAATGTCTTATTTTCTGTACATTTCAGATCACTGAAGAAGTCTGGTCAAATTTGGTTAAAAGCTTACACTAGATTTCATGGTTCAAATGCCTGTAATAACAATTCTTCTTAAGGCATGACATTTATGATTTATATTTTGCTTATTTAGATTTATTTTTGTTCCTTTTGTTCTTTTTTTAATATTTAAAGCTTTTTACACAAGAATAATTTTCTTGACAAGGTGAAAGCGTTTGGAAATGTGTTATCCACACACTCATATCTTTTTATATTGAAATATATTTTTGCATTACTGAAAAATAACACATGATTACATATTCTACTACCATAACACAATTAATCCAGTCTAAATTTGTGCGATATTCATGGACATAAGGATTCATTTTTCAAAATTTTGTCAAAATTAAAAAAAAAAATTATTTTTATGTTCTAAATGTTTCTTCAGATATTTTAATAAAATAATTACAGTTGGTTTGTTGCGTTTTGCTTTTCTTCCCTTTTGACCCACATTTCATAAGTAAACAAAATCTTGTTTTTTTCGTGAAAATGTGCGATCTACAAATAATATATTTTTTTGGCTGACAAGAAATCAGTTAGTTTTTCAAGTGACTTTATTCATTGGAACATATAACATCAGACGGCACTTATAATCTATCAAACAGCTTCGGGTTTTAAGGCATTTTGACTGATAAAAAATTGTTTTTAGGTAATAAATGAAATCAGCCATTTTTTTTATGCTAGAAACGAGTAATAAATTTGAGCTTGCTGTAAAATTTTGAAGGATTGTATTCTGTAAAGCAATGAATGGTTTTGATAAAACATTTCTAATGGATTATATAAGAATTGTTTTTACTAAATGCCATATAAAGATAATAATGAATGGTTTGTTTAATGAATCTCATATTGAATTATTTATCCTTTTTAGTTATTGTGGACTTTTTTGTTAATAATATTGGTGTTTAATACGTATTTATATTTATTTAGGACACTGATACTAGTGATAGCATCAATTTCCAATTTTAAATCAGACGTCTGTGGCTCCTGCAATTCAACAAAAACTAAGTATTTGATGACAATACTAATCTCGAAATATGCTTTATCACATAAGGTCCTTAGTTTTAGTGGAATTGCAGATTCACAGACATCTGATTGAAAATTATGTGTGCTATGTGCTATCAGTGTCCTAGGTACACATAAAATTTTTTCAGAAAACCTTTTTACCTTCTAAGGATAAAAGTTGATTGCTACCGCTACATACAAAATTAACAATTGTCTCATTTTATAGAACTTCATCTTGAAATTCCTCTTCCAATCAAAGAATCATCATAATTTGGCAGGATAGTAGCAATTCATCAACTTTCACAGAACAGGTGGGAATAGACAAGGTCCATTGAGGTGTGGCGATATAGTATTTTCTACATTTTGATAATTCCCAACTTTATTGTGGGTATTTTTTTTACCTGCTTTTTTTATGCTGCTTATCATTACCAAGAACCAATTAGTAGTTTTTTTAATGTGATAAAAGTTTGTACTTGAAGGCAAGCAAGACCAGCTATAAATAAGAACAAAAGATTTATTTTGATACTTTTCTTGTTATATATGTATTATGTTTATTGATATTGTATGTTGGTAACCAATTTGGTTGTAAAGAAAATTAGAATACAAAATTTCATGCCTAAAACTGGTCATCTAAAACGACGCTCAGGTTTGACTCGCCATCCAATTTTTTTTTTATGTGATATATATAGTACAGATTTAAACACCAAGTTTGAAGGTTGAACTAATGGAAATGAATTATGAAAAATCCAGCATGTTTGATTAATTTACATGATATATTAATAATATTATTCACAGTTTATATATTAATAAATACATGATGGAAACTACGAATAAGACTTGATATTTGTACTATTATCCATGACCTATATTTTGTTATATGTTTACACAATCATGAATACAGTTTACTTTTGTTCCTTGTGGCTGAGGGTGGGGATAAATTTGTCAGTAATTATCTGTTCAGACAACTTGAGTAACTTCCCTCTCTCTTTTAGAGAGTAAATGGTGTTTCCGTATAATTAGGATTTAAATTCAATTACAGAACACCTAGGCTACTCGAAAAGTTGGAGATCATGTTATAAGTTAGATTATATTATGTTAAGCTAATTGCAGATTGAACAAAGAATCAAAAATCTTAATAACATGACCATCCTGATCCATTTTGAGAATATATTTGTATGAATATTTTTGTCATGTTACTCTCTGGTGGAATGCCTTATCTTGAAGAAGTAAATCAGGGTGAATGCTGAGTGCTGACTAACACTACAAACACTATTTATTCATAGTAATAAATGAAGAAGTTGATCTTCACGGAATATACTTTCATCACTTCTGCTGATATTCAAACATCTTGGAAGAACCCTCTAAATATATTTTATTCTCTATGTATTATATATTAGTATGTTTTCTATTAATATTTCTATTTTCAGCACTATTTTAACAGTGAAAATATTTTATTATTGTATTTCATGTTTTTATACATTACTAGTATTAAAATAAATATTTCCTCGGCAAGAAGAGGTGTGTAACACACTACAAACCAAATTGAGTGGCATTTTCATTCAATATGAGAGAAGAAAGACAATCATCAATTGTTTTAATAGTTATTAAAAATATACAATATTGAAACAATTATTTTTTGTCTTATGGGACTATCCATAGAATATTTTCTACTGTTTTGATAATCCTAAACTTTATTATATAATTTCTTAATTAACCTTTTTTTGATACTGCTTGTAGCATTTAAAATGTGATAAAAATTCCTACTTGTAAGACCAACTATAAATAGACTGCTGAAAGCACAAAAGATTTATTTTTTTATACATTTCTTGTTACTGTATACCGGTATATGTTTGGTAATATCTATTTAAATTGTCTTTTGATTACCAATATACTTGTCATCCAAACAACATTCTGTTTCGACTGTCCAGTTAAATTTATTTAGAATTTGTCAAGTTGGATTATACTGTGTTCAGCTTATTACAGTTTGAACAAAAATGGCCATCCTGACAACTAATATATTTGCATGAATATTTTTTAGAATATATATTTGTTTATTGATTATTATGTTACTCTCTGGTGGAATGCCTTATCTTTTAAAATTTGCTCAAAATAGTTGTTTTGAACAAGTTAACTATTGAATGATTTCAGGGTAAAGGCTGACTAGCTAAATCAATTGTTGAAATGAAATGAGGACTCAAGTTTCATTTCTGCTGATTTTCAAATTTCTTGGAAGCAACCCCCTAAATATATTCTATATGAATTGTATTGTACAAGTTTTTTTATTATTTCTATTTTTTATTTATGCTTTTTTATATTACTAGTATTAAAATAAATATTTCCTAGGCAAGAAGACGGCTCTTGCTTGTATTTGTTTTAGTCCTGTGATACATGCATAACATTCTATAGTCATTTGGATGAGTTTTGTGCAAAGCATCACTAGTAGGTCTAATTGATCAGCTTTTTGTATAATTTGAAAGAAAATATTTCGAGTGTTAATTAGCTATGGGGAGTGTAGAGCCAGGCTAGCCAGTTCTAGACAACTGATGCCACTTTTCATAATGAAATACTTACAAAGTGAAAAGTTCATTAGCTATTACTAGATAGTTTCCCTAATATGTTGTTTGGATTTCGTTTTGCTGTTTATGGTATTCTTTCCCAAAGTCTTCATAAATTACGTGTGTCTCTTAAGTCTATACTTAGTAAGCTTACTACATAATTTGAAATGGTTTGATATCGATGGAATTCAGTCTTAAAATGCAATACTTTGTAAATTATATACATCAAATCTTTCTTGTCATTGTATTCCGATTATTGCTGTTTACACAGACACCTTGTTATTCAACTTCACATCAACATTAAAGTGTTGTTTTTTTTTTAAAAAGTTGGCAGTGATATGATACTCTTTAGATTTTCATGGAAAGGGAAATGCATTCTTTAGCAAAATCTATAATGTATTTGTCGGAATTCAAAATATTCACCATACAATTTATCTTAAAACCCCTTCCATCTCCTGACAAGTAGTAGGAGTTGTAAAACATAATACTATCATTCTGAATTTCTTTCTTGTGGATAAATTTCCATTGGAAATGAAAACATGACAATGTAAACTATGTAAATGCTACGGAATCTTTTGAGAAACACATCATATGTAAAATATGTTGCCACATAAATTACAAAGGTTTTGTGAAAGGATACCCTGATTGTCAATACTTGGTTTATTTATTGTTCTAATGTTTGCAGAAACCAAATTATACAAAACAATTTTGTATCATGGAATGATATTTAATAATATAATATATTGAAACAATTATAGTAATTATAGAAGAGATTAATATTATCATTAAATGACATTTAGAAGTAGGTAGAACATTCAGCAAGGACAACTATTATGGATATACTTCTCCTTTAATTTAATTTAAATTAAGGAGTAGTATATCCATAATAGTTGTCCTTGCTGAGATTAATATTGTATTCAATTAATATCATACAAACTCAAGTCTTAAAATATAGAATATGGAAAGCATTGCATACAATAATGATTATAACATAAATTATGAAACAATTAAAGGGATTCCAAATCCTATCTATGACAATGGGTTGAAGAATTTCTACCAACCAAACAACAATTAATACTACACACTAATATTATAATAATAGAATGGCTATAATAAAAAATATTTGGGTAGAAAAGGCACTCAAGTACAGATAAACATCTACACAATGGTATTGTATACTTTTCTGTGTTGCTTTTTCTTGCGGCCAATTGTGAACTTGACAAATTATTTGAAGGCTTATCAAACAAGAACAGTCCACAAGATCAAACAAAATTTATGTGCATTTTCAAAATATATTTCTTGAATCAAAGATGATACAATTTACTGATATGTGTTTATTTAGATTTTAATGTTTCTGACCATGGTCTTTATGGTTATCTTTATGACGACAAACTAGAACTGGTACATGTGAGTGATGTATAATATAATCACTAACACTACCAACAAAGGTACGACGTAGGGTTCCCATACCTCGAGAACCAGTAACTATAAGACCAGCTTTCTCTTCTTCAGCTACCTTTATTAAAACTTCACCTGGACTACCTCCGACACTCTTTACTTTACCACCAATCTATAAATATATAAAATGTTGTCTCCATATTATCAATTAACATTATTAACACAATACAATCAACACACATCTATAATACAAAAAATAAAGTGTTATTAAGTGTTGTTAAAACAGCCAATCCAAAATACAAAAGATGTCCATACAAAACAAGGAATGCGCCATCATGGCTGCTATCTTCTAATAAGAAGACTGCAGTAGCAGACGATAGAATTCTTCACTTAAACAATAAAACAAGTGGTTGCCTAGCAAGATAAGCCCACTTTTTCAAGGGCAGTCACCAATCTGTATCAAATCATTTTAAAAATCTAATTTGTGCAAGATATAGTTGATCAAACAAACACACATTATTTAATAAAATTCTGACATAAACTGTCACCTCGATCGCGTTGACAAGCCAACAAATGTTTCTGAGAGTGAAATTTTCATATTTCATGGGTTTTCTTTACAGTTTACAATTCAAGAACTCATAGTAAATTTTTTCGATTCGTCTGATTTTCAATAGGGTTCATCCTTGGGTGATTACAAACACTCACACCTAGTTTTGTCAAAACCATCAAGAGACCAGCTCTCTATCGTGTCCACAAACAATTCAAGAACAAGGGCAATAACTCATAGTAAATATTTTTTCGATTCGTCAGATTTTCAATAGGATTCATCCTTGGGTGATTACAAACACTCACACCTAGTTTTGTCAAAATCCATCAAGAAACCAGCTCTCTATCGTGTCCACAAACAATTGAAGAACAAGGGCAATAACTCATAGTAAATATTTTTTGATTCGTCTGATTTTCAATAATGTTCATCCTTGGGTGATTACAAACACTCACACCAAGTTTCATCAAAATTCATCAAGAAACCAGCTCTCTATCGTGTCCACAAACAAGGTCAATAACTCATAGTAAATACTTTTCGATTTGTCTGATTTTCAATAGGGTTCATCCTTGGGTGATTACAAACACTCACACACAGTTTCATCAAGATAGCTTGCCAGGCAAGGTAATATATGCCCACTGGTAGCTTTGATTTTGAACATAAATATTTAGCAGTACAGTAACAATCACCAGTATGAAATATTCAACCTTCAGTCATACACTTCTTTTGAACTCTTTAGGGCGATACTGAATAATATTGAGTATGAGTTATTGCCCTAGTTCTTGAAAACGTGTTCAATCTTTAGCTCGTGAAAGCTCTAGAAGAGAAATATTCAATCTTCAGCGCAATAATGAATAATAAATCGAAGTTTTGTCAAAATTCGGCAAGAATCCAGCATCTGCATTCTGATCTGAACAGCTTATATTACAAGGTTGAAGGTCAGGACTCATAATTATTTCTTACCCCAGCATGCTTGAGTTTATTTCCAAGGGTTTCTAAAAATTGCTTAGTTTTCTTTTCTTCCTCGTGTAATAAATCAGTCACTACAGTTATATCAGTCATTACCATGGCTTAAAAACACAAGAAAAAGTAGGATAAATATTGAAACTTCTCTAAGTCGTGCCAACTGTGCAAATTGAAAGTATTTTAATTTTTTCTTTTCAACAAAATGTGTCATTCATTAACAACTTAAAGTCATATGTTTTGATCCAAATTACAAAACAGAAACTATGATCTCATTTTGCATCTTACAAGTCTCCAAAATTCATACAAATTATGTAATACCCTCTGTTCAAGAAGAAATTGAAAGATATTTCAAGGTAAAATAATACATACGAGATTGGACAACAGTATGATATTCTGGACAATGGACTAAAACAACATGATCATTTTTCTTGTGCACATTGTCCATATACCCTACAATAAAAACAAAAGTTATTTTGAATAGATTGTTTGAATAAATGTGTTGAATTATATTTTACATATTATACGTTTTTGGTTCCTGCAATTCCACTAAAACTAAGTGTTTGATGATTTCACTAATCGCAACATATGCTTGTATCACATAAGGCGATTAGTGACGTCATCAAACACTAATATGATTGAAGTTAAGGCAGCTTAACCGTTCTATGAGCCCGATTTTTTTAGTCGTCTGAACGTGAACGGTTAAGCTGCAGCTGCCTTAACTTGTACCTACTTCGAAGGTGTTTAAAACCTGGCTTGCATGGTTAAGCCAGCTTAGTTTTGCTGTCTGAACGTGACTGGCTAACATTAAGCTGGATATGCCATGTCTGCATGTGCGCATGAGTCTTATCATTCGTCTTCTCACCACTGCGCATGCATAATGGGATTATGACCTCTGAACTTATCGATATCTTCCGAGGTAATGACAAAGCTCGGTTAACTTTCATATATGTCTGAACGCTCACCTAAAAACAGTAAACTAGACTTGAAGAACAGTTAATAGTAAAGATGCCTTAAATGAAGTTGTCTGAACACACTATAAGTTTTAATGGAATTGCAGAGATCACAGATGTCTGATTAAATATTGGAATGGTGCAAATTGATGCTATAAATGACACAATAAAAAATTAGAAAACCTTTTTAAAATCCCCTTAATTTGTGATAGATCAGTAGAAAATAAAATATTTAAGAGTCAAGAATGACATCCACACCTATGTGACATGTTTGTAGCTAAATGTTGGACAAAGTGAATAATGGTATCAGGATAAATACTAGCATAGGAATTAAAGTAAATAACTCACTTTGTTATCAAAAGCCTTCAGTAAAAGCATTTCACTTGCAAAATTAAAAGTTTTTGAGAGAAGAAATTCTATTAATGTTCAAGGTTGATGACCTGTACATGTTGATACCAAGCTTAAAGATACAGGTCAAAGGTAAAATCTATCTGTTATCACTAGGTATAAACTTCTGTAACTGATATATTTCATGTGTACTGATCATTTTAAAACAATACATGTTCTGATAATAAATAAGTTGTCAATGGAGCTTTTTCAAGAGAATTATTTTAAAAATGCATCTTTAAAAATTGAATGTCATGTGACAATAAAACAAAATGACAAAGTATTGACCTGGTAAATTTTATTACAAGTACTGTATATTCATGTATTGACCTATCTAGTGATATGATATAGATAATCTAAAAGTACATGTGTAATAAACTACGTCTATATGATCAGTGAGGAGTTCATCTAGAATTTTCTCTCTTATCTAAGACCATAATTCAAAAGTTCACTTTCAGTTCAATTAATTAAAAACTCCAATACATGTATAATATAATGAAACAATTAGGTATCTGAAAGATTACTGAATGAAATGAAATGACTATGTGTATGACAATTTGATATACAAAATATCCAGGCAAATTATTTGGTTTCCTTTACCAACTGAGAAGATTTTATCTATTGTCTATGTTCTTCTATGATGACCCTGTTATAATTTGTGTTCGTTGACAAGTATGACAGTGATAGTTTGTGTTAGCTTGTTGGTGTGATGACACAGGGTAGAAGATGCCAATCCAAAAAACAGCTCTATGTAACACATGTTCCTACATTCTTTGATCAATATTTATCATACCTGATAAAACTTGAAATATAAATCTATCTCAAAATCAACCAAAATCCGAATTTATATGCTAATAATGTGATGGAGTTAAGACATAAAATATATGGGTGTATGAAAAATGTATCAGGAAATGTTTGTTATCATATTCATTGAGAAATCCGACCTAATGTAATCTGACTCAAATGTTGTTTTTCCTCAGGTTACTCCACTTGCCATCCATGATTTGACAAAACAGTTATGCATGTCCTATTCTTGGTCTTTTATAACAATGATTTGTTCAATAAAAGATTTCCATACGTAATGTGAAGAATTGTGGGATATTCCTTGTTGATTATTGACTTGTTTTCTAACCACTTTTGACACTGTTTTTGATTGTTTAGCAATGAAGCATAACATCAGCAATGATGTTAAATAGAGTCAAAATAAAACAAAAATGACTTAAGGAAGAATATTTTCAGATCAACTACAAAAATGAAACAAAAAAATCCACAACTGCAATAAATTTATTTAAAAGGGTACCATTTTCATCAACCCAACAAATGAAAATAAAATGGGATTTGCAAAAATGGGATTCGAAAAAAAGACTGTGGTTGGATAACAAGAATTATCTCATAAAAAATAACCCGAAAGTATTCACATTTTGTAAAGTATCCATAAATCCAATTATGTGTCAACTGTTATACACTGATGCTAATTTTAACCTTTGATTTTCATAACAATTCAATTTTCTGTTATAATTTTAACCTATAATATTCATAACAATACAAATATCAGCATCAAAATAAGATTGCTAGCTATAAAATAATAATTAGTCTGCAATGGTATATAATCAAATAAGCATGAGCACACATTATCAAACTGAAATTTGTTTCGAATTTAATTAAGCTTTCAGTTTCATTTAATTATATTCAAGTTTCTAGAATGAGTTGGGCAACAATTCACTTACATTGGAATGCATAATCTGCATATTCGCTTCCATCCATAGCAATAACAACATTTCTTGTTGGCTGTGCTTCAGTTGTCATCTTGTAGTTGTAAACTTGTCAAGCGTTCACTCACTTCAAATATTTTCTCTCACGTCCACTTGCTTCAAATTTCCTCAGCTAAATGATAAAGTTCAATCTAGGGTCAGATGTGAAGGTCAGGGACGTAGTAATTTTAGTTCATCCAGACGGTTCATTGTACCTTAGAACTATATACTATACAGCTCTATGATTGTACATTTGGGACACTCCATGTAAAAAAATATGAGAAATGATAATGAATACCATATTATATATCTTTGCCTTATTTACCCATTCATGTTAAAAATAAATAAAATACAGTAAAGCTGAATTGACAATAGCTTTTAAATTTCTTTGTTGTCCACCCATTAGAACTGAAAGGTCATGTATTTTGAAAGGTTAGAGATTGTGAAATAATTCTATTATTTGTATTAAATTTTACTATTTTATAGTATATAGTATATTCTCAGCAATATGTAGCAGAGCATGTGTAAAACAATTGAATTATATCCATTAATTATGTTTCAGTATAGATAGGTCATTGTGAGACGCGTTAAATATATAGTTTTTAATAGTTGTTGAATGCTGTTATTCAGATTATTTTAATAATATCACACGACATCATCATTTGACTAATTTCTGAAGGTGATATAGGCCATTACATCTCTTTTTTAGTTTAAATTTCCATTACACTTCTTCAACTAATCTGTAGTGACTCATAAAT